CACCATGCTCAGTATCTGGGGTGTTGGTCACATCCAGGGATGTGTACATATTAGACATGTATTTTACTAATGGAGCTATATCTTTAACCCAACATAGGTGGTTTCATTTTTTATTATGTTTATTTAGTTTAATTCTGTTTTTTCCAGACAGGGTTTCTCTGTGTAGGTATCCTGAAATTTGCTCTGTAGACCAGAAGGGCCTCGAACTCATAGAGATACACCTGCCTCTGCTTCCCGAATGCTGAGATTAAAGGCGTGCCCCACCACTGCTTGGCTTATTTTTTTTCTAGATTTACTTTATATCTTTGAATTTTTTGCTTGTGTGTATGTGCACCCTGTATGTGCCTGGCCCAAAGAGATCAGAAAGAAGGCATCAGATCCCCTGGGTCTGGAGGTACATAGAGTTTTGAATCTCCATGGGGATGCTGGGAACTGAATCTGACTGAGCATTGGCTTTACTTGTACTTTTTGGTGATGTATTTGGACCTCCTTTATTGCTGTTTGTGCATCCTTCCTTGAGCTTTGTGATCTGCTGAGTATCTTTTGGTTTAACTCTGGTACCTAGGTCAGCTCATCAGAATGCATCCTTGCTTCCCTCAGGATATATGAATTTCCCTTCCAAGTTGCCTAGAGAATTTCTGCTCTGCCAACTCCTGGTGGCAGCATGCCATGGCCTAGGCTGATGTTGGCAGGAGCTTCTTTTCCCAGTTAGGTGTGGCAAATGTGTGGCCTGGCTGCTTTGTCCACTGTCATGGCCTGGCATATTCTAATTTGTTTTATTATACTTTTATATGGTTCATATTGTGCCATATATAATTTTGTATTTTGTTTTTTCATTTACTATACATTTTCTGGCTTTGGTATTCCATTAATTAGATATACCTACCATACCTAATAATTTCATTTTATGCTTCCCCCCCCCCCTTCCCCCCCTTCCCTCTTCTCTTTTTCTCCCTTTTTTGTTTTTTTGAGACAAGGTTTCTCTGTATTGCATTGGAGCCTGTCCTGGAATTCACTCTGTAGACCAGGCTGGTTTCGAACTCATAGAGATCTGCCTGCTTCTGCCTCTCCCAAGTGCTGGGATTAAAGTTGTGCACCACCAACGCCAGGCCATCCTCCCCTCTTTTTTTTACAAGGTTTTATTATGTTGCTCAGCTGGGCTTGAATTCCTAGGCTGAAGTGGTTTTGTCTTAGTCTTGTGAGTGAATTGTAAGCACATAACCTGTGCGTGGCAGTAGTTTTGTTTAAAAATCCAGTGACAAGTCAAGACTTGTGGGTTTCAGGAACTGTTCAGATTCTTTCCCCCACTCTTGCATTGATGTTCTGTAGCTTGAAATTGGTATCTTTGGATCTTGAGGAAAATCTTCAAATAAAAGTTTCTGGTTATAGTAAAATTTGACCCAGATTACTTTTTCCCTCTTTCTCATTTTGTCTCATTGAACTTAGTAAACTGTGTTCTTTTTAAAAGGTGTATAGTAGGACACTGCTTGGTTTTAAGTTATTGTTCATTTTTTTTAATATCAAAATTAGGGAAAATTAAGCTAGACAAAGTGGTGGTGGCCCACTCTTGCAATCCAACACTTGGGAGGCAAAGAAAGAGGACTGAGAGTTGAGACTGTTTCAATAAACAACAGTGAAACTAGGAAAGGTCTCTTCCTTTTACTGCCCCCTTCCCCCCCCCCCCCCCCCCGTTTGTATTGTTATTGCTTAATTCAGACATTTTTTGAGTAACTGACAGTCATTTTTCTCTCTGGTATTAAAAGTAGCCGTTTCTCTTGGAAAAAAAAAAACAAAACGAAATAAATCTGTTTCAATAAACAACAGTAAAACTAGAAAAGGTCTCTTCCTTTTACTGCCCTCTTTCCCCCCGGTTTGTATTGTTATTGCTTAATTCAGACATTTTTGAGTAACTGACAGTCATTTTTCTCTCTGGTATTAAAAGTAGCCGTTTCTCTTGGAAAAAAAAAAAAAAAGAAATAAATAAACACATGAAGCCACAGAGGCGTGACATGGTGGCATGGGAAACACCTTTAGTTCAAGTACTTGGCAGCCTGTGGCAGCTGAATCACTGAGTTCCAGGTCAGTCTTGGCAACATAACAAGTTCTAGATTGGTCTTGGTCTAGACCGGCTACATAGTGAAACCCTTTCTTTTCCCCACTTCCTGTCCTTGATAAACAACTAAATAAACGAGGTAGCCTTAGTATCCGATGATTTCCTCCTTCGAACTCAAATGCAGGTAATAATGTGTGGGCTGTATTTGTGAAAGCTGATAAACTAAAACTCCATGCTACTAAGTCCCAAAAAATTCAGTGTTGTTGAAAGCTGGTATTAACACCAGTTAGTTTGTATGTAGCAGGGAAGTCAGTAAGCATGGGACTTGGTGAGAATCATGAAGTCAGGAGTGACTTCAAGTCTTTTGTGGCTACAGAGTGACTTGATCTCTGTTTTATTTTCCTTTTTGGGGACGGAGTGGTGTGGGTTTTGAGACAGGGTTTCTCTGTGTAGCCCTGGGTGTCCTGGAACTTGCTCTGTAGACCAGGCTGGCCTTGAACTTAGTGATTTGCCTGCCTCTGTATCTCAGGCATTGAGATTAAAGGTGTATGACACCACTGCCTGGCAGTCTCTTTCTTTACTCATTAAATAATCTTAATTTTAAAATGATAGCTAACATTTATCCTTTTTCCCTATGTTCCATGATAATTACTTTTTGAACTATATGCTAACCATTGTGAACTATTTAGTCACCATGTTAGAAAAATAACGTAGCACTTTCATCTGAACTTTTTAGTTTGATTTGTGGTTGCCTGCTAATACATTATGATATACCTGTTTGTAAACTTCTGTCTGTCTGGGGTAAATTGACTTGTAGGTGTGGCGGTAAAGGCATACTTGTGAAAAGGAGTTATTTTGGCTTTTCTGTTTTGTGGAAATGCAATATGCTTGGAGTACTTGGTAGATTCTGTTGAAAGTTACACAAAAACAGAATGAAAATATCCTTGGTACATCATCAAGGATTATGATTCCTGGAATTGCAGACTTTCTTAGAGTGGAGAGAGCCAGTTAGACTTGTGGGTGTAGACTTGGATTTGAACTGTGTGGGTCAGAGCCAAGGTAGAGAAGGGAGTAGTGGAAACACAAAAGGTTGTCTGAAAAATGTTTTTAAAAAATAACTTCTGTGAGTGTCTCACTCTGTAGTCCAGTCTAGCTTCAAACTCATGCTCATCCTGCTTCAGACTCCCAGGTGCTAGGCTTACAGGTACAAACCACCATGCCAGGCTTTGGTTGTAATTTTAAGTTTTTTTTTTTTTTTTTTTGTTGATTTGTTAATCTTATTTAACTTAAATATAATGATAAATGGCATGAGCTTTTGTACATGTGTATGGTTTGGTGAAGATATGGATGGGATAGGATGTAGGAAACATTGTGACCAAAGGGTCTTCTTTCTCCTTTCATTTATTTAAATTGCTACATTACATAATATTTTAAAAATATGTATACATTATAGCATTTTGAAGTGCATGTACATTAAAGAATGGCTATTTCCTTTATTTTCAGAGGCCTTGTTTACTTTTGTAGTGTCAGTATTTTAGTGTTATGTGGGAGAGCTATTAATTTAACCATTGTGATTTAGCAATAAGTACTAGCAGAAATATGGAGCACAGGGACTAAATTTCCTTATGATTTTAGATGGTAACCCCCTTCCAATGTTATCTTTTATGTGTTCTACATGGCTGGCTTCTGATACAGTCTTTCTCCCTTTTTACAAAGGAAAAAAAAAAAAAAAGATTTAAATGGTCAGGTGTCTTTGTCTGACTGTAGGTGTACTTCATACTGACCCTTACATGGTCAGGTTGTTGTGTGACTGTAGGTGTACCTCAGAATGACTCTGCCTTTAGCTATACAGAGCTCAAAGCATCAGTCTTTTACTCTTTTGACTGTGAGTTGTTCTAATACTGTCAAATATTGAAGCTAGCCTAGTGATGTGGGAACGAACTAATACAAGATTTAGTTTAGTATTTGTTAGAGAAATATATCCGTATTGCAGAGAACTTGGAAAAGAAAAAGAAGGAAATGAGCTATATAGTTCTAACCGTTAGTATGCTTTTCTAGCTTTTTTTATGTGTATTATGAAATCAGTTGTGAATTGAGCAGTGGCTTGAGGGGGAGTAGACTTCAGAGATCATCCTGGATCTTGGTTATAATCACCATCATTTCCAGTGGTGTGTAGTAGAGAAAAGGGACCTCTGCTGGCCAACTGGATAGTAGTTGGCCAGTGCTGATAAATACCTCCTGAAGTGATTATATTGATAGCCTTAAGGCAGAGTTAAAGGGTTGTGTTTTGAACAAAACAGCCCTGGCCTTGACCAGAATAGACAGTTTTAGTGCCAAATCTTGAGCCCCTAAGTAAGGAATATGTCTTTACCTTGCCATACTATGGTCAACACTTATCTGAAAACTGATCTGCCAGTATTAGAGCTGTGACACAGAATCACAGGTTTGTGTCCTTTCCATACGGTCACAATTTCCATATAATGTAATGGGTCTTCTAGGACTGCAAGAATAATTCAGTTGTTGTGGCTGTCCTAGCCTGGGAGCCCATTAGGTTTTGCTCATAACAAAGAAACAGGAAGTAGCAACATTGACAGTAGGGTTAGCTGTGGGATAAGGAACATAACTAAGTCAATATTTAACAATTCCAACTGTGGATTAATATTCTGTCAGTGTACTAAAGAGCATTAGGAGCTCTTGTGTTGAAATTAGCTTTGTTCTCTGTGATTCTGTTTCATTTTATATGACTCATTTACAGTATGTGTATCAAAGTCTAATAGATGTGTCTGGCTTCTTTAAAAAGATTATAATTTCCTAGAATATATAATGGATTTCAGCTTCCCTACTAGTTCATGTGTATATAGCAGTATGTAGCTGGATGACTAGTTTATTCTTAAAATTTATACATAAACAAATTTATTACTTGTTAACCAGTATTTATTTTTTTCAGTTTCTCTTCAGCAACGGGTAGCAGAATTGGAAAAAATTAATGCAGATTTTTTACGGGCACAGCAGCAGCTTGAGCAAGAATTTAATCAAAAGAGAGCAAAATTTAAGGAACTGTATTTGGCTAAAGAAGGTAAGTTCACCAGTCTCTTTCCCAACTCCCCTGCCAAAACTGTCTTAAATGTTACAGTGCTTGTTTGTGATTGAATAAACCATGAATGTGTGTGTGTGTTATAATAAAAATAATGCCTTTTGGAACTAGGTTTCTCAGTAGACTTGGGGAGAAAGTAGGAAATGCACCATTAAGGGTTGTTTTTTTACCTTAAAAATATTTAGTTGTAGTTGGCTGCTCTTAACACTTGAGGTACAGTCCCTGGCTTTGATGTGTAGAAACTGACATTTCACTGTTAAGTACCTGCTTTGTGGAATACATTATATTTAGGTGCTGGGCATACAATGGGAGCAAAATTCATGTGGTCCTTTAGGTTGTTTGAACTGAAGGTGAGGAAATCAGATATAGAGTCATTGTGTATCAGTTGTTAAAGATGAATGTTTAAGTAAAGCAAATCTGGTAGGAGATCTAATTTAAGAGTGTCAGGGAAGGTATTCTAGCTGTTGACCTAGAAGCATTATAGACATGACTTCCATGGTGTCATTGTGGAACAACTGTAGCAGCATCAGGTTTCCTGGGAAACTTCTTAGGAGTGCACACATTTGGGTCATATCTCATATTTGCTGAGTCAAGAATTGGGATGAAGGTCCAGTGGTCCAGTGGTTGGTGTTTTAACAAGCTTCCAAGTCAGCTTCAGAGTTTCTGATTTACTAGGACTCTGGGATCCCACAGTTGCATTTTTAACAAGTTGGTGGTACTATTAATGGTTTAGGTAGCACACTTTGAGATTTACTAGCCTAAAGCAATATCTTTTGTATTTTTGAATTGAAAATTTTTGTTGAGATAGACTGTGTGTCCCAGACTGGCCTTGAACTGGTTACATACCTGAGGGTGACTCTGAAGTTCTGATCCTCCTACCTTTACTTCCTGAGTAAGTCATTAGTTTGCTACTCAAGTTTGAACTCAGGCTCTATGCATGCTAGGCTATATCTTAAACCCCTAAAGTAACATTTTGGGCTTGAAAAAGTCTTTTAAAAAGTAATCTTGCCAGTATTCTGTAACAAAACTGTGCATATAACTAGATGTGGTGGCACATGCCACAGCACTCCCTTCCATGCCCTCCCCTTCTTCCCATTTATTTCCTTCCACTCCCCTTTTCCTCCCCTCCCCTCTTTCATTTCCCTTCCCTTTCCCTTTTCCTTTTCTATCCTTTGCTTCAGGTAGGATTTCATGCAGCTCAAGCTAGCCTTGGACTCTTCCTGATCCTCCTGCCTCTGTTCCCAAGTACTGGGATTACAGTTGTACAATACTGTGCTTGGTTTAAGTGGTACTGGGGATTGATTGCAGGGTCTTGTGCTTGCTAAGTAAACACTCTACCAAGTTGCTGCATTCCTAGCCCCTAGGTTTTTTTTTTTTTTTTTTTTTTTTTTTTTTTTTTTTAATAATATGCTCATGCAAATTTGTTAAGTACCCTCCCTTTTCTTTGCTGTACTGGAGAGCAGACCTGGAGCCATGTACATTATAGGCAAGCTTTCTATTCCTGAGTTATCCCAGTCTTTCTTTCTCTTAAAGCTTTTTTCTGCCTTCAATTGACAAGGTAGACTCTGAACAGTGATGTGGTGTCAAGATGACTTGTTAATACATTTAATGCACATACATATGTAAGATCCTTCTAGTATTTCTCTCATGCCAAGTTCAAACCCAGTGTGTCAGGGTTAATGCCATCCTTTTCCTCCCTTTACTCCTCACACAAATTGGTCATTCTCTCCAGATTCTTCAGGTTGTTTTTTTTTTTTTAAATAATTTTTATTTTTATTTTATGTGCATTGGTGTTTTGCTTGCATGTGTTCTAGATCTTGGAATTACAGGCAGTTGTGACCTACCATGTAGATGCTTGGAATTGAAATTTGGTCCTCTAGAAGAACAGTCAATGCTCTTAACAACTGAGCCATCTTTCTAGCCCTGAAACAGGGTTTCGTTTCTTTTCTTTCTTTCTTTCTTTCTTTCTTTCTTTCTTTCTTTCTTTCTTTCTCTTTTTTGTTTTTAAACAGGGCTTCTCTGTGTAACAGTCCTGGCTGTACTGGAACTTGCTTTGTAGAACAGGCTGGCCTCTTAACTCACAGAGATCCACCTGTCTCTGCCTCCTGAGTACTGGGATTAAAGGAGTGCATCACTACCACCATCTGGTGTTTTTTTTTTTTTTTTTTTTAACTTAAACTTTATTTATTTTTATGTGTATGGGTGCTTTGCTTGTATGTCTGTGTGTATGTGTCTAGTGACCATGTGTCTAGAGACCAGAAGAGGGCATAAGATCCCCTGGGACAGGAGTTAACAGACAATTGTGAATGCTGGGGTTTGAACCTGTGTCCTAGTTTTTCTTTATTCAATAAATCGAAGTTAATTTTGAAATCCTCCCCCCCCCCCACCATGAGACAGGGTTTCTCTGTGTAACAGTCCTAGCTGTCCTGGAATTTGCTTTGTAGACCAGACTGACCTGGAACTCACAGAGATCTGCCCGCCTCTGCCTCCCAAGTGCTGGAACTAAAGGTTTGCTCCACCACTGCCTGCCTGGCATGTTTTGAAAGATTATTTGATTTGTTTTTCATTTCCCTTTGTTTTCAAATAAAGCTTTTAGGTTTCTCATTTTCTTTGAAGTTATTTTCTGTAAATTTTTGTAAAAAACAACCAAAAGTAAGAACCCCTCCCTCCCACTTTTCTCCCTCTCTCCTTTTTTATTATGTGTGTGGGAGTGGGTATATGTACTAGTGAGTTCATACATGTGAATGTCAGAGGACACCTTTGTGGCATTAAATCTGCTTTTACCCTTTCTTAGGTTTTGGATTTAGGTCATCAGTTTTACCCACTGAACTGTCTTACTGGCCCACAGCCTCTCATTTCTGACATGTATTATTACTTTTGTATCTGAATTAAACAGCTTTCATAATGGTTTAGTTAAAAATACTTGTTCTAAACTGGGGGTTAGGGGATGCTGGGGTGGTGGTGGTGGTGGTGGTTGTGCACACCTTTAATCCTAGCACTTGGGAGGCAGAGCCAGGTGGATCTCTGACTTTGAGGCCAACTTGGTCTATAGAGTGAGTTTCAGGACAGTCAGGGCTATACAGAGAAACCCTGTCTTGAAAAACCACAAAAACTAACTAGCTATGTTAAAATTACTTCAGTTAACTATCTGACATTGTTAACAAATTTAAGCTGGCCATGGAGAACATTGAGACAACTTTTTATAAAATGACAGAAGGAATTTTATGATCCTTTTTTGGTGTCCTTCCTAAAAGCAACATATGTGGTATATAAGACATCATCAGTATTGGTTATTTAGGTTTTATCTTGGACAATTGCCGGTATCATAATAAAAATAAAATTTAAAACTTTATTCTCATGTAGCAGTTTATATTATTGTACCTGCAATGAAGGTGGAGGCCAGTCTTTGTCACAGGCACAAACAGTGTTGGTGTGCTCAGCAATCTTTTGTCTTTCAGCAAAGTAGGTTAAGGTGATTCAGGAGTCCAGACACTGCTTTTCCCCTGGAAGGGACAGTTTTGCTGCTCGTATAATTGCTGGGCTTGCATTTATTTGGAATATCACTGAGTTGTAAATGCAAACAGTAATGAAGACTGCTAATAAAAGAGATGATAAGGCTACTTTTGGGCTTTTACAGCCTGCTTTTGTCTTAGTGTACATTTTTTTTCAAGGTGACCTCAGTTGGGAATATTTTATAATATTTTATAACTTAGAAAATTTTGTTGGTTTTTCTACTAAACTTTAAAAAGGTATTCTTTTTTTTTTTTTTTTTTTTTTAACCAGTTTCAATCTAAGTTAGCACTGCTGCAGTGTTTATGCTTTAGAAATCTCAGTTGAGTGTTAGTGAGACCCTGCTGTTTGACACTCCAGACAAAGAGACTGTGGAAGAAAATGATAAAAATGGAGATTGAGTTTTCCAGTGGTGTCCAAGAAGACTTTATGCATGGCCATAATTTACATGGTGCTCTGATGCTTTTAGAATTTCAGTTGTGTAAAGCTTGGTTTAGGAAGCTACATGTGGTCCAGGTGACATATGCTCACTTAGATAGGGATATGAAAAAAGGAATATTTTTAAAATTACAGTTAAACCTATGAAGAAGTAAAGATAAGTAAGAAAAACTAATTAGAGAACTTACAAACAAAATTTTAAAATAGAGAATAACCCATGCATGGTGGCATGTGCATGTGAATCCAGCATTTGGGAGGTGGAGTTAGAAGGATTTCGAATCTGAGACTAGCCTGGGGAAAAATAGCAAGAGCTTGTCTGAACAACAGCTTCATCAGCAGTAACTGAACCCAGGAAATACCATATTAGCCCCTCAAGGGATAGAACACAATGGAATAGCATCATCAAAGTACATAAAAATGATTGTCAGCCTAGAATTTTAATATTTAGCTGAGTTCTTAAAGAGTGAGGACAAAGGGCATCTTTGCGTGTAAATGCTGAAAGCATTTATCACCTGCACAGTCACTAAAGTAACTGGTAGGACCTATGTTTGTCAGAAGAAAATTAAACAGGAATGCTCGGGGAATATGAAATTATATAAAATTGAGAAACTGATAAATTTGCATACTAAACAATACCAAAAAAAATTCCAATTCACTCACATAAAAGTTTAAAAGTCTTAAGAAATGTCTTGGAGGGCTGGAGAGTTGGCTCAGTGGATAAGAGGCTGCCCTTCCAGGGGACCTGGGTTCAATCCCCAGCACCCACATGGCAGCTCACAGCTGTCTGTAACTCAGTTCTAGGGGATCTGACACCCTCACACCAATATATATCAAATTAAATAAGTTATTTTTAAAAATTTAAAAGAATTGTTTTTGGGGCTGAGGAAAGTACTTGCTATTCTTGTACAGGACCCAGATTTGGTTCCCAGTACCTGAATTGCTTCTCACAATTATCTTTTAACTTCAGTTTCTGCAAACATTCCCTCTTCTGGTCCCTGCTAGCACCAGGCATGTACCTGGTGCACATATCTATATCTAATATCTATATCTATATTTATCTACTAAAAAAATCTTCTGGAAGAAACTAATGAAGAGACAAACTTAGAGTTCTTGAATTACCAAAACAAAGAGAAATAAAAGCAAGATTAGAAAGGGGAAAGATTGGGAAGAGGAAGATGGTGATCAGGAGTGGGAGGGAATGAGAATGGGTAAAGGGGAGGGAATATGACCAAAATTATATACATGTTTGAAAATGTTGTGAAATTCATTATGCATAATTCATATATAATTAATATTTGTTAATAAAAATGTGAAAAAATTAAACAAAAACCAAGCCAAGTGTTTGGGAGCCTCAAGCATGAGGACTGATATAGCTGGAGTAGTTACTAGTTCTACTTTTAGTTTTTTTGAGGCATTCTGTAGTCTATCATCAGTACTTTATTATTTTTCCAGAAGTCCTCATGTAAACAGGGCAGAGCTTTTCTTTTGTCCTGATGCCCAGTCCAAATAAACACACAAAAGCTTATGTTAATTAAGAGTGCTTGGCCTACAGCTCAGGCTTTTTTTTTTTTTCTTTTAAAGATGTATTTATTATGTATACAGTGTTCTACCTTCATGTATGCCTGCATACCAGGAGAGGGTACCAGATCTCATTATAGATGGTTGTGAGCCACCGTGTGGTTGTTGGGAATTGAACTCAGAACCTCTGGAAGAATAACCAGTGCTCTTAACCTCTGAGCTATCTCTCCATACCTAGCTCAGGCTTATTACTAACTAGCTCTTACATCTTAAATTAACCCATTTTTATTAATCTACATTATGCCACATGGCTGATGGCTTTACCTATCCTCTAGCATCTTGCTTCCTTAAGGCTGCTAGCTTCTCTCTCTGACTCTGTCCTTCTTCCTCTTTGTATTTTCAACCTGGCTTTCCTGTCTATCCTTATTCTGCCTTGCTGTAGGCCAAATCAGCTTTATTATCAACCAGTGAGAGTAATACTTATTCACAGCTTACAGAAGGATTATCCTACAACACCTCATAGATAGTACAACAAAATAAAAAGAAATTAGTTACAAAATTAAAAAAATGAAGGAAAGGAAGTTTTCTTTTTTGAAGAACTATGTTTGCTTAGAGAATTGTTCACCTTTATTATTTAAGATATTAAAATGTATGTTATTGAATATTGATTATAATCCATATTATCCAGTATGAAGGAAAAATTAGTACCAGTATGGATTTAAAAGTTGAATATTTTGTGTTCATGATAGTCATGATTTTTTTTTTTTAAATAGAGAGTTGGTAGTAAGAGTAAATAGACACATCTCTATAGAGGGATAGTAGACTTATCCTTGTTTTCTTTGTAGTGTTAGGGAACAAAACCCAGGGCCTTGTATATGCTAGGCAAGTGCTATACCACTAAGCTACATTCCTGACTCTACACATTCATCTTTTTTTTTTTTTTTTTTTTTTTTGGGAAGTCATGACTAAATATATATCTTATCTAGGCTTAAGGTGTGTAGTGTACATGTGACATCGAATTAGTTTTTAAGAGATTATAGAGTAACTGACAGAGTAAGAATGACTTTATCAACTAAGTAATATACAGTCTGGCTTTCTTCCATTAAGTATGTCTTGAAAGCTTACTTGTTGGAAGTTACTATACTTACAGGCATTTATAATACATCAACTTATCATTTCAACAGCACTGTGAAGTGGTCATTTTTAATCTCCATTTTGTAGATTTGGACATTTACACCAGAGTAGTTCAAGAATTTGATTATTAGGGCTAGAGAGATGGCTCAGTGCTTAAGAGCTCTGGCTGTTTTTCCAAAGGATTTGTGTTCAATTCCTAGCACCTACATGCCAGTTTGCAGCTGTTTAACTATAGTCTTTGGATTCAGATGCACTCTCCTGACATCCCATAGTACTAGTTAAAATAGTCATATACATAAAAATAAATTTTAAAAGTTTTTTGGTTATTTCTATTAGTAAGTTGTAAAAGCCTAAATATGTTACCAAAATGGTGACCTTCCCCAGTGTTTCATTAGATAGTTTAAATATTTTATTTATTTATTTATTTTGCTTTTTTGAGATAGGATTTCTCTGTAATAACCCTGGCTGTCCTGGAATTCGCTTTGTAAATTGTTTTTGAAACCCAATACACTTTATATTTCTATTTAAATAGCTTCGTAATTTATGTTAGCATTTTAAAATCCCATTTCTTTGTTTCTTTTGAGTTTGATAAAGTAAACTACACATTAATGGAAAATCTTGTACTTTTTCCCCAGAGGATCTCAAGAGGCAAAATGCAGTATTGCAAGCTGCACAGGATGATTTGGGTCATCTTCGGACACAGCTGTGGGAGGCTCAGGCAGAGATGGAGAATATTAAGGCAATTGCCACAGTCTCTGAAAATACTAAGCAAGAAGCTATAGATGAAGTTAAAAGGCAGTGGAGAGAAGAAGTTGCTTCACTTCAGGCTGTAATGAAAGGTAAAGAAAAGACCAGGTTTTAGACTTTCTAAGATCAACACATTCTGATGCTTGACACCATTTTCAAATGACCTTACAGTGCATTTTGTATTCATTTGTGGCTTTATATACTGTCATCTTCAAGATGTCAGATGAAAGGGAAGCCAGAGCTGTTGTACATCACCAGTGTTCTAATAATGAAGATTCACAGTGAGAGAGAGATAATGTATTAAATGAAGGTTGTAGTTACTTGTAAGATTTAAAGTAGGGTTTAAAGTTAGATTTTATTTGTCTAGATTTTTAAGTATAATGCATATTTTATGTGAAATCTTTGTTTGATTTGATAGGCAAGAATGGGCCTTACAGCTAAAATGGACTTTATGGAATGCCAACTTGAGACCTTGGCCTGAAGGAAGTGTAATAGTGTGTATAGCCCCTGTCCTTTCAGCACACATACATCATTACTTCCTTCTACTTCCTTCGTTTTTGAGAATGAAGGCAAAATGAAACCTTAATCTTTGGGATTCTGGAATTAGTTAATATTTATAAATGTGAACTAATGGCAACTGTCCTGACTTGAGGGGAGGGTCTTTGTATTTGTGTCCCAATTTTTTTTTTTTTTTTTTTTTTTTTTTTTTTTAACCCTATCCATATCCCAAACTTTTCTGGCTGACTGCTTCTATATAGTTACCATGTTCTTTAAAATTTCATCTTTGCTTCATGGCTGAGAAATGGTTATACCTCCTCTAGTCTACATTAGAAAAGTATTTTTTTTCCTAGAAATCTTCATGTTATATTTTCCTCACACTTTGTTGACCATGTATGTGGTCAACTTTAAAAGAAATTAAAATGTAGTTTTAAGTCTGTGTATTTAATTTTGTGCTGTGGAGAATCAAATCCATAGCCATTCTCATGTGAGGCAAGTTATCCCACTAAGGTATTTAGTCAGCCAGAAAGTGGAGTGTTTTTATTGAGCACTGTAAATCCCCAAAGTTTGGTCTTGTTAGTAATGAAGAATTGGGGCTAGAGAGATGGCTCAGTGGTTAAGAGCACTTGTTACTCTTGTAGAGCATATGGTTCATTTCCTAGCATCCACAGGGTAGGTTTAATTGCAATTCCAGGGGCTCTGTCACCCTCTTCTGACCTCTATAGGCAACAGATATGCACATAGTGAAGTATGTACATGCATGTGATACCAAGACATATATGTAAAATAAAAATCAATAAGTCTGAAAAAAAAAAAGGAGTAAAACTTAATGGGCTACAAGTAGTACCTATCAGGTGATGTTTCAAGACTATTAAATATGAAGTTATTTTGTAAAGATTTTATAATTTGTCTGAATTTAGAATTGTAGGTTTTAGTAAAATATCCCATAAATAATATTTATTTCTTTACACATTCATGCAGTTATAATGAAATGTTCTATTTGTTTTGGGAGCCACAGTATAGTGTCAGAGAATTGGTTTTGGGAGCGGGTCTTAGATGGAAGTTGAAAGCTCTACTTTGAACCTTCTCTAGGGTTCCTTATCAAATAGCATATGGTAGATCTATTGTGAAGATTGATGGTAATGAAGTAATAAAACCCCCTTTTAAACTCATAATAACAACTATAATTTTTTATTTCTAAAATTTTGTCTTGGGGCTAGAGAGGTGGCTCAGCGGTTTAAGAGCACTGGCTGTTCTTCCAGGGGACCCAGATTCAATTCCCAGCACCCACATGGCAGCTCAAACTGCCTGTAACTCCAGTTCCAGGGGATCTGACACCCTCACACAGACATATATGCAGGCTAAACACCAATGCACATAAAATAAAAAAAAGAATAAATTTTAAAAGAAAATAATTGTCTCAAGCTCTTTACATAACCTACAAAATTTCAGTGTACTAGATATTGCCCCATGATGCTTAGACATGGACTATGTGATGTTTTATAGAGACAGTTCGTGACTATGAGCATCAGTTTCATCTGAGGCTGGAGCAGGAGCGAGCACAGTGGGCACAGTATCGAGAATCTGCAGAGCGGGAAATAGCTGACTTAAGAAGAAGGTTGTCTGAAGGTCAAGAGGAAGAAAATTTAGAAAATGAAATGAAAAAGGTATGCAGGAATACATTCACTTACAGAATTACTTGAGTCTAAAAGCAAAGTGTTTAAAAGTATTGCTGCAGAACTGGAAGTTGAATATGCTGTGTTTTCTTTCTTTCTTTCTATTGAGGAGTTACTTATGGACTAGACAGCCCTTTCCCCTTTTCCCCTTGCCCTCCACAGTACATATGACTAGCTGCCTTACCATCTTCAGATCATTTCTTCATGCGGCCCTTCTTACCTCTCTTATTTAAGATTGCGACTTACCTGCCTCTTCCCACAAGTTTCCAGAATTTCCTGGATTTCTGTACCCTGAATAAAGTTGTTTTTTTGGGGGGGGGCAGCCTGTTTCCTCATAAAACAGAGTTCATCTTTTACTGTGTTTGTTTACTGCTTTTTTCTGTTCGATAGAATGTTAACTCCATGAGGATGTAGTTTTTGTATATACTAAGTGCATAGGGTGGCATCTAGTACATAATTGCCCAGTGAATTTGTGTTGCATGGAGATGTTCCTTGATACTGTGTCTAAACATTTTAGAATACTTGTTAATTTTTTTTTAGTATACCTTAGTTTTTGTTTGACAAATGCTACACATGTTATGCCTGAACAATAATACAATGTCCACCATGTAGATACTGACTCTAGTCATGAGACTCAATGGGAGGAGCCCATGTTGAGCCAAGTCATTGACCTTCATTGAGAACATGATAGCCCTTAAATCTTATTTTATGAATTTATAATGCATATGTTTTTTGAGACAGGGTTTCTCTATGTAGCTTTAGAGCCTGTCCTGGAATTCTTTCTGTAGACCAGGCTGGCCTCAAATTCACAAGAGATCCTTTTACTTCTGCCTCCCAAGTGCTGGGATTAAAGGTGTGCACCACCAACGCCCAGCAACATATGTATTTTTAAGAACATAGAATAATTAAAAATTTAATTTTCTTTTAATATAGTTAATAATGATTTTTGGCTACTAACCCTTGTTCCATTCTTTATATAAATGAATATTTATCATTTCCACGATCACTATTCTTTACTATTTTTAAAAGGTTTTAGTTTTAAAACTAAATTTTATTTTTATAAAATTTATTTTGTGTGTGTGTGTGTGTGTGTGTGTGTGCGCGTGCGCACACATGCACCCATGTGCAATGCTAGAGGTGCATATCAAGTGACTTTATCATTCTACTTCTATATTATTTTGAATTCTTTTAATAAAATTTCTTTCATGCCATATGTTTTGATCATATTTTTTCTTCCCCCAGCTCTTCCCAGATCCTCCTCACCCTCCTCCTCACTTAGCTTCATGTTCTCTTTCTTTCTCTCAAAAAACAAAACAATGAAAATCAAATTAAAAGGTAATAAGACCCCCCCCACAAAAAAAAACACAAAAATAAAAACCATGAAGTATGTTTTATGTTGGCCTATTCCTGGGCATCAGACCTGCCTAAAAGCGTGGTTTTGATATATTCAGTGACCTCCATTGGAAAGAACTGATATCCTTTTGCCACCAGGTCTCATTTGCAAATAGCACCTTGGCTAGGGGTAGGACTTTGTGTCCTCTTCTTCTCCCTGCTGGGATTTTGTCTTGGTTGAACTCGTTTAGGTCTTCTGTGTACTGACTGTTGAAGTCTCTGCATTCATATGTGCATCAGCCCTGTTGTGTCTAGAAGGCGCTGTTTCCTTGGAGTCAACCACCACATCTTGCTCTTACAATCTTTCTGTATAGTTCCCTGAGTCTTGAGTGGGAGGGGTTTGATGAAGACTTCCCACCTAGGGCTGAGTGCTCCAAAATTTCTCTCTCTCTGCACATTGTCCACTTGAGGGTGGTCTCTAATAATCATGTACCGAAAGAAGAATCTTCTGAGGGTTGAGTTATGATTTGTTCCATGGGTATAGCAATATGTCATTAGGAGTCATTTTATGGCTCTGTTCCTTTAGCAGAATAATAGTAGTAAGTTTCCCCCATGACCTGTATAGTTTCAGGTTCTTGGCCACTTTAGTGGTGTCTGGTATGGGCTCCATCTTAAATGGAGTAGCCTTAAACTCAACTGGGAGGGTGGGGTGGGTTGCTCCCATAACATTTCTGCCACTATTGAACCAGCAAATTTTGCAGACAGGTTGCTGGGTTTTTTTTTGTTTTTGTTTTTGTTTTGTTTTTTGTTTTGAGTTATATTTTATCTAGTCTTTGACAGTTTCATACATGTGTACAGTATATCTTGGTCATATTTATTTCCAAGTCCTAGTTCCCATCCCTTTCCTCCATCTACTTTAGTTTTCTTTCTTTTTTTGAGACCCAGTCTCTACATCTCTGGCTGGTCCACATCGTTGGAACTCTCTATGTAGACAAGGCTGGCTTTGAAACTCACAGAGATCTGCCTCCCAAATGCAGGGATTAAAAGCCTGTGCCACCATATTGGGTGCCTCACTTTTTGAGACAAGGTCTTTCACTAAACCTGAAGCTCACTAATTAGGCTAAACTAACTGACCAGTGGACTCCTAGGATCCTCCTGCTTCTACTTCCCAGTGCTGGCATTACAGGTGCATATAGCTACACTTGGCTTTCTGCATAGTTCCAAACACAGGTCCTCATGCTTGTTCAGGGAGCACTGTACCAACTGATCATCTCCTAGATCCTCCATGAATTTTATTTACTTAATTTTAATTTTTATTGTTTATATCTGACTCTGTAGGCTACATACATATGGGTTCAGGTGCCCTCAGAATCCTGAGGTATCAGATTCCCTGGAGCTAGACTGGAGTTATAGGTGGTGTGGTATGAGTTGCTTGACATGGGTACTGGGTCATTTACAAGAGCAATACATGCTTTTTAACCTCTGAGCCATCTCTCCAGCCCAACTTTTTTTTTTTTTTTTTTTTTTTTTCTTGCTCTGTAGACCAGGCCTCAAACTCACAGAGATCCACCTGCCTGTGCCCCCTGAGTGCTGAGATTAATGATGAATTAATGACATTCACCACCACCACCTGGCCTAACTATTACTTTTTAGGAGGTTTTTTTTTTTTAGTATAAAAATTCATGAATATTGTATTGTTTCAATATACTTATACTCAGTTTTCTAACATTTTACCCTATGGTTTGTTACACTTGTTATAGTTAACAAACTAATACCAGCTTATCATTAGTAACAAAGGTTTGATCTTTGTATTCAGATTGTATTAGTTTTCAACCAGTGTCCCTCACATCCTTTTTTCCTTCCTATTTCAGACTTCCATCCAAGAAACCACACTGCATTTAGTCATGTAGTTGTACGCTCGACTTAGCTGTAACAGCTTCTCAATTTTATTTTTATTTTAGTGACTTTTCTATTTCTTTTTATTATTGTATGTGTGCATAATGTGGAGTATATATTCAGACATGCATGCGGATTTCAGGGAGCAATTTTAAGGAGTTAGTTCTCTCTTTCCACTGTTGATTCAGGAGTTTGAACTCCGATCAACAGGCATGCACAACTACCTAATGTGTGTGCTAGGAACTGAACTTGGGTCCTCTGATAGAGCAGCATTACATCCTCTTAAGTGCTTAGTTATATCTCTAGCCCAAAAGTTTTGTTCTGCTTACAGAAGAACACATATGTTCTTTGCATGATCCTAGGGCCAAATATCATATTAAACAAAATAAGCTATACTCAGAAAGACAAATATCACTCTGTCTCATATATGGAACCTAGGGTGTGTTTATGTGTTTCATAAAAGACAAGGAGGGACATTTGGGTAAAGAAAAAAGGCAAATGAGTGAGGAAAATGAAACAAGAGGATGATGGTTAGTATTAATATGTTCTAGAATGACACCTATTTTTGAAGCTCATCATTTTGTAAATATAATGAATATATGTTAATAAAAATCCAAAAAAATGATTAAATGAAAATTGGTGTTCAATTTTATGGGTGCTAATAATATGTATGGTATAATTGTTATACTAATTTTTAGCAAATGGTTGGACTAGAGTTTCGTAGAAAAGCAATCAGTAAGTGTTGCATTTAATTTCTTGTAATCATAGGCCCAAGAAGATGCTGAAAAGCTTCGCTCTGTTGTGATGCCCATGGAGAAGGAAATTGCAGCTTTGAAAGATAAACTGACAGAAGCTGAAGAGAAGATTAAAGAGCTGGAGGCCTCAAAGGTTGTAAAATGCTGTTATCCATCTGCTGCAATACCAGGAGCAAACTTAAAATCACTTAAGAAGTAGTGGTGGGAAATGATTTAGTCAAGCATCTCAAGAACCTTACTTCTGTTTAAAATTCAAAAACAAAATGAAAGCAAACCTGCTCTGTGGTAATTTGGCCTTTGATTATTTAAACCCTCAGTGGTGATTGTAATTTGAAAAAGTGGCAAGCAAGAGAAAGATGCCATGCCACAGAACTTGGGTTTTTTATTGGGGGAAAGTGAATGGGCAAAGGGGAGAGGGGAGACCGGAGACCCGCCTCTGGGGAGTGGCGGGAGAGGGAGAGAGAGAAGAGACAGATACACAGGTTGGTGTGTGTGTGTGTGTGTGTGTGTGTGTGTGTGTGAGTGAGTGTGATGTGATGGGGATGATGGGCAGGACCCTTTTAAAAGGAAAAGTTGTGAATGTGCACAGGAGGTGCTCTCAGTGGCTGCAGCTGAGAGCATGTCCTGTCAGAACCCCGAAGGTAGGCCAGTACAGATGCCTGAATACTAACAGTGATACTTGCTTATGAAGGAAAACTTGTGTTCAGTTATCCATTTTGTCCATGTGAGAATCAATTTCAGCTTTCATTTTCACTTTAACGAATCATCTTTATTGGCTTATTTTTGTAAGACAGGGTTTCATGTAACTCAGGCTGGCCTTGAACTTGTATATTCTATCTCTATTTTACTCAGCTCCTGTGATCAGACCCAGGGCTTTAGGCAGAACACTCTGACAACTAGAAGCTGTTCATAGTTGATTTTGTTTCCTTGTCCTAGTTTTAGGAGGTCTTTTAGACTGGTTACACCTCTTATTTAACATATACACAGCATGGATAGGATATGGTTTCTTGGTTCAGTGCCTCTCTAGCATGGTCAAGGTCTAAGCTGGGCCTGGTGACTGATGTCCCATTCTAGGAACCTTTTGGGATGTAAAGGCAAGAGGAAATTAATCACTTCCATAGTGAGTTTTTATGTCTGTTTTTAGTGCTGGAGATTAAACCTAGGGCCTTACTGACATATACTAGGCAAATGCTGTACCACTGAAAAAATTCTTCAGTAATGAAAGAGATTAGAGGTATAGATGAGTGGTAGAGTGCTGACACTTGTCTAGTGTGGATGAGGGCGTGTGTTTGACATTCAGTACTAAAAGAAAGAAGAGTTAGCAAGGTGGCATGCTTGATAAAGGTATTTGCCTCAAAGCCTGATGATCTGTGTTTGATCTCTTCCACCTACAGGGTGAAAAGGAGAACTGACTCCCACAGTTGTCTTTTCACCTGTGCACAGGTCCTCTGATCTCCACATGCTCACTGTAGCATTTGTGCACCCACACACGCATGCAAACACACACACACACACACACACACACACACACCAGCATGTATGTAAAAATTTAAGACAGTGAGCTATAGTAGCTCACACTTAGGAGGCTAAAGTAGGAAAATTGCTGTGAGTATAAGGTCAGCTTAAGCAACAAAGTGAGACCTTATCTTAATAACACACAAGTAGAATATAGGGATAAATAAAAATATACTGTATAAAGCCTAATCAAGAGGAAACTGATATAAGAAAGTATAACATAAAATAGGTTAAATGGGGAAGTAGAGATTAGTGCTAGAGAAATGGCTCCTCAGTTAAAAGGCTTACTGCTCTGGCAGAGAATTTCCAGGGTCAGTTCCCAACACCCACATGGCAGCTCACAACCATCTGAATCCCAGTTCCTAGGGATGTGACACCCTGTTCTGTCTGTGGACACTAGCACATACACAGTGAACATGAATTTATGTAGGCACACATACACATACAGAAAAAAATTGCAACAAAAGAAGAATAGAGATAAAGAGATACTATATGCATTAGTCAAAAACTCAGCATTTAGTAGGCTGGATGACTTAGTAAAATTTCTTATCTTTATTATCCTTTGGATAATAAAGATAAAATTAGGATAATAAGAAAAAAAATTTGGATAAGGTAGAGGCAGGTGGATATCTGAGTTCCAGGCCAGTCAGGGCTACACAGAGAAACCCTGTTTTGAAAAACAAAACAATAAAATGAAAAAAGATTGTCTTACAAGGGTGTTATGAGCCACATTCAAATTAGAACATATGAATGTGTTACGAGCAGTTTCCTTGCCAGCCTGGTCCCACCACTGCTTCAGCCCCATATAACACACAGAGATGCTGTATTATATATAAAGCTGTTGGCCTGTTACTAGCATTTCTTACTGGCTAGTTCTATCTTAAGTATTAACCCATTTCTATTAATCTAAGTATTTCCACATGTTCTTATCTTACTGGACAGAGGGTCTGGACCTCTTCTTTCTCAAGTCTCTATATCTTGAATCTCCTCTACATCAGGAACCAGAGAAATGTAAATGAAAGTAGGATTCTATTTTAGTCTAAACAAGGCTTTAAAGTCACAGATTTGTTGAATCACTCATGGTTCAAGTGTACAAAACAGGTCCAGCAGCTTCCTTCCTCTTTCTCCTAACACCATCTGCAGGTAGTGTTAGCAGTTTGTTTTTACCCTGTGTATGTTGCTTAGAATATTACAATTGTCCATTTGTGTGACTTTTTAAAAAAATTATTTTTTAAACTTTTTTTTTTTTTGATGTGTGTTTATGTGTGTGAGGGTGTGTCTTACAATGTAACCCCAGGTAACTGGGAACTTGCAGCAGTCCTCCTGTCTCAGCTTCTTTGAGTGCTGGGATTACAGGCATGAATAACCACAGCTGGCTCTGTGCATAAGTGCATCTCTGTGTACTTGAGACAGGGTCTTACTGTGTAGCCCTGGCTGTCCTGGAACTTGCTATGTAGACCAAGCTGGCCTAGAATTCACAGAGGTCCACATGCCTTTTCTTGGAGAGTGGTAGGATTAAAAGTATGCACTATTATGCACAGTCCTCCATATGGTTTTTATTTGGGTTATGGAACATGGAATTAAAGGATATTCATATGCTATGCTGCTGCTTTAACACCCTCCTAGAGTTAGTAATAATTTTCAGGTGTTGGAAACTCATCATTTTTTCAATTCAAATAAGTTTATTCTAAGAAGTAATGTGTACTACAGTCTGTGGTTATAAACCATCCTTGTTATAGCTGCTAAATTGACCATCTTGATGTACTAACCTCTTTAGCTCCTGTGGTTATATGAATTGATCAGTATGAGTCATTTTGTAAATGTAAGCCATTGGGCATCATCTCACCAGAAATCAAAGTTAAAAGAGGGTCTGGAGAGATGGCTTAGAGGTTAAGAGCACTGGCTGCTTTTCCAGAGGTCCTGAGTTCAATTCCCAGCAACTACATGATGGCTCACAACCACCTATAATCAGATCTGGTGCCCCTTTCTGGCATGCAGGCGTACAAGCAGGCAAAACATTGTATAAACAAATAAGTCCTTTTTTTTAAGTTATAAGAATGTTATCCCATTTTTATCTTACCTAAAAGATAGAGGGTGGCTGGGGGAGGAATTGGTTAGACTTCAGTCCCTGGAACCTATAGGAAAAATGGGTGTGGTGGGTGTGTTTGTAATTATAGCATGAGAGAGGTAGAGACAGACAGATACTTGGGGCTTACTGGCTAGCCACCTACTGGGTGAGTTTCAGGTCAGTGACATACCCTATCTCCAAAATAAAACAAAAGGTCAAAGAGGCTGGTGCCCGAGAAGTAACACCTATAGTTGTGTGATTTACATATGTAAGTCCTTTGTGCACCCCTGCACATATATGTACTTGTACCTAAATGTGCATGTGTGCATGCACACACATAAGCAAATCATTTGTGTTGTTGAAAAGGAGAACAAGCAAGCATATACGTGCATTGCTCTGGAGATAGAAATTAGAAGTACCTTTTTGAAAAACATGGTATATCTTTATATATAGTTTTAGTTATATATTTACCTAAAAGATAAAATTATGGCTAGTGTCTGTTAATTCTGTTACTTTCTAAATTTGTATCATATTTTAAAGCTAAAATACAGCCACTGATACTTACTTTATTTGCCATTCTTACAGGGTTGTAAAGTTGAGTTTTATACTTATTTCAGGTTAAGGAACTGAATCATTATCTGGAGGCTGAGAAGTCTTGTAGGACCGATCTGGAGATGTATGTAGCTGTTTTGAACACTCAGAAATCTGTTCTACAGGAAGATGCTGAGAAATTGAGGAAAGAATTGCATGAAGGTAAATAAATACATGTTGTATACATTTTTACTTTATTCCAAGAGAACTAAATAAGTAAAATTAATATTGATAAATGACAGTAACAACTCCTAAACCACCAATGCAGCATGCTAGTGAAAACCCTTGTGAAATCTGGTAAATGAATTTTGATTGCTAGTAGCTTCTCCTTCTACCACTACCACACTAATAACTTCACAAGGCGTGAGCTCTGGGCAGAAAGATAATGACATTAGACATTTTCTGCTTAAAGTGCTTTAGTCTGCATAGTCATTTAGAGAGAGGTAAATTAGCAAAAGTGAGATTGGCTAGAGAGGGCCGCATATAGTGTCCTGCTTTCTAAGGGACAGTTTTGATTTCACCATTGAAGTAGCAATGTGATGTACAAGTGAACTCCGTGTTTCCACAAATAAAAAAATTTAAAAAGGTTATGCGTGGTAGGTTACACCTATAATCTTAGTACTTGAGAAGCTGAAGCAGAGGAATCATGAGTTTGAAACCAGCCTGGCTACAGAGTGAGACTGTCTTGAAAAAGAAAAAAACACAGATTGGAGAGATAGGTCAGCAGTTAACAGTACTACTATTTTTTAAATTTTTTTTTTTTTTTTTTTTTTTTTTTGAGACAGTGTTTCAGTGTGTAGCCTCGGCTATCCTGGAACTCACTCTGTAGACCACGCTAATCTCAAATTCACAGAGATCTGCCTGCTTTTGCTGAGATTAAAGGCATGCTTCACCACCACCCAGGGAGCACCAGTTTGTCAGAGATTTGGTTGTCAACTCAAAATTACATATAACACTGACACTGCTCTGGGGTATCCAGGATCCTGTTCTGACCCCTGCAGGCACCAGTACTTGTGTGCATATATCATACCCCTTCATATCTGTATAATTTAAAATTAAATACTTTCAAAAATCATTTTTTTTGAGATCATAATATAATTGCATTATTTTTTTCCCTTCCATTTCTTCCTCCAAATGAACCCTCCCATAAATCATGTTCTGTTTCAAATTCTGAGCCTCTCTTTTAAAAACAAATTCTAAAAACCAAAACAAACAAGCAAGAGACAAGCAAACAAATCCCTTTAAAACAAACCAAAAGAAAAAACACTATAAAATTGAATATTTGAGATATAGAGTGATAATTACTGTTTCCTTGACACAGGAAACAGGTCAGGGCAACACATGTAGTAATTAATTCTGAGGTCACAATGAGTGTAAGTGGATAAAGCCTGAGACTGGTGGCACATAGCGCTTGGACTTAGAGACAGGAGACAGGAAGTCCAAGGTCATCTTTAGTTGCCACTTACCTAGTTGGGATCTAGCCCAGGACAGAGATCCCATTCCCCCACAGCCCTAGAAGACACCTGTAGCAATTATACTGAAATATGAAAACGGTTATAATTTCTGTTGGTAATGGTAGTGGTTATAGTTATGCTCCTGTGGTTGGTTTGTTGTCTGTATCTTACAATAGTGTAATAGAAGGAAATAATGAAATTCAGCTAGGGCATAGTGAAAATAAAGTTGAACTATTAAAAGAGAGAGAGAGAGAGAAAGAGAGAGAGAGAGAGAGAGAGAGAGAGAGAGAGAGAGGCAAGTACTCCTGCATGGCCCCAGCTTTCTCTTAATTTTTTTTTTTCTTATACAAATTGAAATCTATTTGAAATTTTACTTAACATATTTTAGTATATAGGATTTAGTCTGTGGTGGTAGAATCCTATAGTGAATACTTTCATTAAATGCTATGGAAAATAGAAATATGAACAATACAGGATTATATATGAGCTAGCTTTCCCCTCCAAATAGTTGAAAATTGAAATATATGCCAAATATTGCTACATAAGGTGTTGTAAAAATATCCCAACCTTTGAGCAGGTTTTGACCTTCAGGAAACAGTTTTTGCTTGTGCTGTTTGAATCAGAAAGACACTTGTACTGTCAGTGGGTATCCAAAAGGAAGAGGTTTCAATTTGATTAAAATTAAAGTTGTTATTTAGATTTAAAATTTGTGTCCTACATAGCCCTTCTAAAAATAATATAAGTCACTGAGGTTATCATGCCTTCCTAATATGAGAAAAGTATCAAAAGGTCTATTAAAATTAAGAGGTAAAACAATAATTTCTGGTGATTGGGGACATAGTTTGGTAGTAGAACACTTGCCTAGCAAGCACAAAACCCTGGATTTGGTCCTTAGCTCTGAAAAAACAAGCAATCAAAACAAAACAAAAACAACAGTAATTTCTGTATTGACACATAATACATTAAAAAAAAAAGTTTCTTGGTGGTTGAGATGGTTCAGTGGCCAAGTCTGGTGACCTAGGTTCAATCCCCATGATCAACTTGGCAGGAGGAGAAAACTGGCTTCTGCAAGTTGGCCTCTGACATCTACATACACACAACCACACACACACACACAATAACTAATTAAAAATGTAATAAAAAGGAAAAGGAAAAATAATAGTATCTTTAAAAGAAGAGAGATAAAAATTGAGAGTCAACGTAACAGCCTAACATTAGGTTACAATCTAACCTGGTTATTAGGTATGCAGTCATATCCAGGCAACTGCTGATTAGGGCCATGACACAGCTGCTGGCCCTACTGGGAAGTGTGTTGAGATGGGGCAGTACTATTTGACAAATAATGGTCAGTTCTTTTTGTCCTAGAGATAGGTTTAAAAAAAAAAAAAAAAAAAAGCAAGCAAACTGGGCAGTGGTGGCACACACCTTTGATCCCAGCACTTGGGAGGTAGAGGCAGGTGGATTTCTGAGTTTGAAGCCAGCCTGGTCTACAGGGAGAGTTCTAAGACAGAGAAACCCTGTCTTGAAAAACCAAAACCAAAGAAAAGTATTAAAAAAAATAAATTGAGACAGAGGTTACCCAGACTGTTCTTGAACTTTCAAGCTCTTCATTAGTTTAGATTGTAGACGAGGCCACTACTATATCCAGCTGAAAGAAGCTGTGCTCAGATGGGGCTTTTAGAATTTATTTTCAATATTTTTTGTTGTTACTTTCTGAAATCAAGTTTTAAATGTTTTTTGAAACATTCGACACAGGCCTATTTGTACAGCTAAGGGAGTGTAAGCAAAGTGGTTCAGGAAGTTGATGGCATACACCTAGAACCCTAGCATGCTAGAGGTGGAGAGAAGCATGTAAATCCTTGGGCTACACAATGAATCACACTCTCCCTCAACAACTCCTCCCTCCCCCCCCAGTTCAGCCAATTAGTATGCAAGAGAAAATGGTCAAATATGGTACTGGAGTAGTTGACATGGGTAATGACATGGAGACTTCATGTTTTAGAGGTCAGGCTTTATCAGGTAGAAAGTAAATGAGCTTTTGAAGACTTTAAAAAGTGTTATATTTTCCCAATACTTAATTTGTTTGTGGTGTATCATGTGTTGTGTCCTAGGAGAACATAGAGATAATTAAACTCTTAAGCTCTAAGTCATGTAGTCAAGAAACCCTAACATTTTTTATTTAACTCAGGTTTTTCTAAAACTTACAAAGTGCATAGTTGTTTGTCTGTTTCTAAGAGCATAGTTGGAGTGACTTTGCTTTAGAGGGTTGATGGGAATAGTCATATTCAGGTGTAGATTGCTCTTTGGTGTCAGTTAAGAGGCAAACTCATGAAGTGCATTGCTGACCAGACCTGTAGGAGACCTGTGCAAAAGAAATTGCCTACCATTAAAATGCAGTGTTTTTGATTGGGGGGGCTCCTAAACAGTTTGCCATCTCTTGGAGCAAGAACGACAACAACACAACCAGTTAAAACATACATGGCAGAAGGCCAATGACCAGTTTCTGGAATCTCAGCGTTTACTGATGAGAGACATGCAGCGAATGGAGATTGTGCTAACTTCCGAACAACTACGACAAGTTGAAGAATTGAAGAAGAAAGATCAGGTGAATGGGTTATTGGTTTTTCTTTTTTTAAGATTTATTTTTAATTATATGTATTTGTGTGGGGTGGTTGGGTGAGGGTTATCTATCTGCTTGGGTGGTGTACGTTGAAGCTGGGGCATCAGATCCCTTGGAGTTAGGTGGTTATGAGTTTCCTGAAATGGGGTTTAGAGCCAAAGGCAGGTCCTCTGCAAGAGCAGTAGGCACTCTGAAATTCTGAGCATCCCTCCAGCCCCAAATAGATTGTTTCTTAGTTATCATTGTTAATTGTGCTCCCTTCTCTGTTGTCTTATGTATGTTGGAGGCTAACCTAAGCTGGAGCAAGATGTTTTGTGCCACTTTATTTTTGATGTTGGGGAAGCAAACCTAGGGGCCTTGTGCATGCTAGACAGATGCTGCCCCATTGCACAACATCTCTAACCCTTATTGATTTTATTTTTAATATCACTTTGAGAAAACATAGTAGCCAACAAGATCTGATGGCACACACTTACAATCCCAGCACTTGGGTCTGCAGTTGGAGATGAATAAGTATGAGAGCAGCAAGACTCAACTCAAAACAAAAAACAAAACATTTGAAGGACTTTATCAACTTTATAAATTGTCTCATCCTGGGAAGAAACTGATTTAGAAACGACCCTCTTTGGAGACTGAAGGATGCATCAGTATGTATTTCTGAGAAAATTTTCTCAGTAGTATTGTGTAGTTCTCTTAAGATTTCTGAATTTTCAGAGCAGGCCAAATTTCTGGTGACTTCTGTTAGAAAAGTGTGATAGGGTAGAGGCTGAGAGTAATGGCCTACACCTCAAATTTCAGTACTTTGGAGGCTGAGGTAAGAGAATCATGACTTCAGAACAGCCTAGGTTATGCATGAGATCCTGTCACACAACCAACTCCACTGCCCAAGCAAGAGGGTAGGAATGGAGCCCTGGAGTGTGGTAGGCCATAGGCATTTAGAATGCTGTGTTCCAGATGCTCTGTTTCTCATTATTTGAAAATTGCTTTAGTTAAATGAATATGTAAGACTAATGCTTTCTCATAGAAGAAGTTGCTTGTTTAAAATATAAAGGGAGGAACTTAAGAAATGGCTTAGCTGTTAAGAGCATTTGCTCTTGCAGAGGTCTTAGGTTCAATTCTTAGCACCCACAATGGTAGTTCATAATCATCTACTCTTGTTCCCAGAGGATCTGATGCCCTGACCAGATGCCCTCATCTGACCTCTGAGAGCGTCAGGCACTTATTTGGTACACATGCATATATGTAGGCAAAACAGTAACACAAAATAAAATGAATTAATCTACAAATGAAATAATAAAATAAAATGAATTAATCTACAAATGAAATACAAATGAAATAATATCAAATGCTCAAGCAAAAAAACAAAACAAAAAAAAAAAACCCAAAAACAAAAAACCCTCCTTGACATCTCCTACACTGCTCTTCAGTAGCAATTTCTCAGTTTGGTAGTGTCTTCTAGATTAGTTCAGTGTGTTTATAACAATGCACTTAGTATTGTCTTCCCCATATGCCTGTATCATCCTCTTAATTATCTTGGGTGTTTTTATTCCAGTTCTTTCTCATTCTTGTTAACTAGTAGCATAGCAACTATAATTGACTTAGTCTTCTCCTGTAGTGACCATCTAGAGCCACCCCCACTCATGTTCTTTGTCATCTCAGATAGTGTCAAAGCCATTATCCTTTGGCATATTGCATGTTCAAGTATTTTCCCCAGGATAGCTATGTAAAAGTGTTCTAGACTTTTCTAGGTATTAAAATATTTTAATTTACGGTATATGACTTAGGTTATACTTTCTGTTTTCTATATTAAATATTTTTAATTCATACTTAAAATACAGATTTCTATCATATTAAAACAGTCTTACTTTGAAGATGACTGTTGAAGCCCTTCATTAATATTTGTTGTGTTACCATTGTGTCAAGGCTTTATAAAACTTTACCTCCCTCCCCCCCCCCCCCCTTTTAGTTTTATTAAATAGGGTTTCAGTATGTAGCCCAACTTGGCTTCGAATTTGTTCCTCCTACCAGAGCCTCCAGGTTGCCGGGATTACCACCACCATCAGTAGTACTAATGGTTGTACATGCTTTGAATGAGTGTGACGTCAGACTAACTTTTCTTGTTTCTGTAGTGAGATGGGATTGTTCTGTGTAGTTTTCCTGTTTTGGATTATCTGGAGCACGGAGTTGCTTATCTTTTGTTTGCCTTATTTTTGCAGTGTGCTTTTTAAAAAGTTGCTTCCTGATTTTCTTACTTTGTGCTTACAGTAGTAAAATGGTGTTGTGTCCAATTTTCAGTTCTCATAAAGATCTATGATCTTAACTTGTTTTGAGTGGTTGAAGAACTGTATAACTCATTCTTACCTATAGATTACCTGGGTAGCTGAATAATGCTTTTTCTTTCTAACTTTTAGGAGGAGGATGAACAACAAAGGCTTAGTAAGAGGAAAGATAGCAAAAAAACAGATCCCGAAGAAGAAGTAAAAATTCCAGTAGTGTGTGCTTTAACTCAAGAAGAATCTTCAACACCATTATCAAATGAAGAGGTATGGTGACTCTGTGACTACAGTTATTTTTTATGCTGGCTGGGAGAGGCTGGTGAGAGACTTTTTAGAGCCCAAAACTCAAAGCACTTCAAAAATTTTATATATAATGTCATAATTTTTAGTTTATTTTTATCAGTTACCTTGTATATTAGTGAGGGTATCTATTATTGTGATTAAACACCATGACCAAAGGCAATTTGGAAAGTTTTTAGTTTAGAATTCTCAGGTCACACTTCATCATGGAGGGAAGTCAGAACAGGAACTTGGCAGGAACTGGGAGTCAGAATTCATGCAGAGCCCATGGAAGAATGCAGCTACTGGCTTGCACCCCTGGGACCACTTGTCCAGGGCTGACAGCCCACAATGCATTGGGCTCTTGCACATCAATTGATCCATAAAGCTTGTCACAGGCAAAGACTCTGGTTTGAGTTTTTTTTTTTTTTAAATAATTGAGGGTCCCTCTTCTCAAGTGACTCTAGCTTGTGTCAATTTTAGAAAAACTAACCAGGACACCTTGTTTATGTGGAAAGATTATAGGTGAGAATGAGATAAAACAGCAACTTTGTTTTTAGTTGCTCTTGTAACATTGTAACACTATTTGAAAACATACTGAAATGTCATTCACCATTTAAAATTACTATATATTCCTTTGCTGGTATTTCCAAAATGTCATATATTAGAACAAGTCTTTAAATGAGACAGGGTTTCTCTGTGTAGCTCTGGCTGTTCTAGAACTCATATTGTAGACCAGGCTGGCCTCAAACTTAGTGTGATCCAACTGCTTCTGCCTCCCGAGTACTGGGATTAAAGGTGTGTGCCACTACCGTCCAGATAAAGATTATTATAGAAGAACAGATTTAAGCACAGAGTTAATAGAAAAGGGTCAGGGAAAAGGATAATAAGACACATTCAAGTGTGGTGGTGTGTGATGTTTTACTCTTGGATTTTGAGGGACCTACACACAGAGTTTTATTCTTACTTATTTTTGCCTAGTCTTAGCTTGGCTTGTTGCTAGCCAGCTTTTCTCTCTGGGTTTTTAGCTTTCTTACTTCTATATATCTTACTTTCCTTCTTACTCTGTGGCTGGCTGGCTGGGTGGGTGGCTAAATGGCTGGCTCCTGACGCCCTCTTCCTTGTTCTCTCATGGCTTTCTTCCTCATTTCTCCTTCTATTTATACTCTGCCAGCCTTGCCTATCCCTGCTCCTGCCTCACTATTAGCCTTTCAGCTCTTATTAGGACCATCAGGTGTTTTAGACAGGCAGAGAATCAAACAAATGTAGCATAGACAAAAGCAACATACCTTAAAATAATATTCCCCAACAGTGTGGGCTTTTCAAAGTTGCCTGATGTCTTTAAAAAAAAAAAAAAAAAAAAAAAGACTTGTAGTGTGTGTGTACATATATTATGTATGTGTGTATTTGTGTATATATTCACATATATGCATGTATATTTAAATGTAGGTGTTTTGCCTGCTTGTATGTCTATGAACCATGTGCATGTAGTGCTCACAGAGGCCAAAAGAGGACCTCAGATTCCTGGGACTGGAATTATGTATGGTTAAGATACCCAATGGGTCCTAAGAATCAAACCCACATTGGAAGAACAGCCAGTGCTCTTAACTATTGAGCCATATTTCTAGCTCCTGTTGTCTATTTTTAATTTTATGAATTCTACATATTGCTAAATACTTGCTTTTTTGGTGGGAGGATGACAGGGTCTTGCTGTGTAGCTCAGGCTGACCTTGCTCTCAAGATTATTCCTTCCTCAGCTTCCTGAACATTGTCATTGGTTATAGAAGCTTGCCACTTTTTCAGCTCCAGTATTAGGGAATAAGTTCTGAAAATGGAAGGTAAACGGTTGACAGATTGCACTGAAGCTTCGAGGAATAGTGCAAATGTTGGGATGGGGAAGAACAGAGGGGTCCAAGGATGCAGTATTATGCTTGTGGTCTGTAATCTCATACCTACAATATGGCAAGGGCCTCTGCATTGATTTTCTTGCCTTTGGCTTCTCATACATATTCTACTGAACCCTCAGCATTACTGTTGTCTCTTTAGTGTGATTGCAGTCAGATCACTCTGGTATGCAAAATTACCACTGACTACCATAACGTACATTATTTAGTAGAAATTCTTTACATAGATTGTTGAAACCATTTGCAAGAAAAATTTTCTTTCTAATTTCAATTTTTTAAAAATTTATTTTGACAGGGTTTCATTCAAAATCACACATTAAAACTGTTTATCCTTGTGAAACAAAATCCATCTTTGGGTTCCTTCTCATTAGCAGCACATTAGACACACAAGATCTAATATTTTAAGCTCATGATGGGTAAAGCCCAAACTAATTTTAATTTTTAAAATTGGGTATGTGTGCATACGTATGTATGGGTATGTGAGCTTACACATGTGCTTGCAGGTACCCAGAGTCTAGAAGAGGCCATCATATTCTCTGAAGATAGAGTATTAAAGTGGTTGTAGCTGTCTGACATGGATGCTGGGAACCAAACTCAGGTCCTGTGCAAGAGCAGCAAGTGTTTTAACCACAGGACCATCTTTTTAACCTCAAGAAGTGTTTTCTTTAAAACAAGCAAATATGTATTTTAGTGATTGAGGTAGGATAGGGAATACTCAGCATGCATGTGGAGGTCAGGATTGTTTTTTCTTCCCATCTGGTGTAAGACCTGGGAATCAAATTTAGGTCTTTAGGTTTGGCAGCAAGTGTCTTTATCCACTAACTGATATCTCTGGGCCAGAATTTCCTAATAGTCATATTGGTCTTTCTCTTTTTCCAAACTGTCCACCTCATATGTTGGTTCCTTCATCTGGAATGCTTGCCTTCCTCTATCAGGCTATTAAAATTCTCTTGCTTGTCCTTCACAGCTCAGGCTGATGCACCCTCTTTAGTAAAGGAAATACTTGTGGACCTAGTGCCTTTGGGATCAAAGTTAAGGACCCTCCTTTCCCAGTTGAATGACCCTTCTAGCTTTACCCTTTGTTCTTCATTACTGTTAGGCCTTGCTGCTTGTGGTCCATACTTGTGTTATTTATGCCATCCTTGATGCCTGTGATTTCATATTTACAAGGGCCATAGCTACAGCTCAGTAGTAGAGTGCTTGCTTAACATGTGTAAGGCCCTAGTTCGATCTCCAGCATTGAAAAGGTGTGGGGTGGGGTTGGTTATACACACTTTCCTAACTTTCACCTCCTTTCCTAGCTGGTGAACAGTTGCAGTTAAGTTGAATTCATTTTCCTAACAGGTGTCTTGTTTCTGTTTTGTTTGCGGATTTACTCTGACTCATGTGTAGTACAGTTCCTGGTGGCTTTATTTTTATCTTTATTGATAGCTTGATATGAAAAATTCTAATAGACACTGAAAAACATGATGCTATTATTTTTGTACATTTTTTGGTTTGTTTTGGAGCATACACTAAGGACTGACTGGTGATTTTGCTCTACATTTTCTTAATACTTAGACTCCCAGAAGAATGTCCCTTTTTGTTCAGCCGGATATTACATGGCATTTGCATCATGCAGTAATCTATTCAGGAATGATTAGAAAAGAAGAAAGGAGAATTTGTGATTCATAAAGAAGTATTTCTGTTATTTTTGCTTCTGTTTCTAACAACTTTCTCATACTGTGTATATAATTTTCTGGCTTTTAAGATATACTTTAGACTTTCTGCTGGAGGCTGCAGCTCCATGACAGAATGTTGACCAGCATGCATGAGGCTCTGGGTTTGGTTCTAGGTAGCAGCAACTCTCACCTTCACCGTGTGTATATGTGTTTTCAACTTTCAGACCTCATAGTTTGCATTTTCAGAATCATGATAATTTAATTTGGCTGGTAAATTAAAATTAATATGGAATGCTTTGGAGACTTAGATTTATTGCTAATGAAATTTAATAATTTTGAAGCCTCCTATGTCATCTTTATTTTGGTACTTAGAATATGCTTTTTCACTCTGAAAGTAATAGGAAAATATATGGCATATTTCTGAAGTGCAGGAAGGGCCATATAAATAAAAATAATTGTTTTGACCACCCAGAGAAAACTGTCTGTAATGTTTTGGCATGTGTCATTCTCCTTTTCCCTGTTTCCTTTTCCCAAGATATTATGAATATGTTCTCATTTGTTTTGTTTGTTTGCTTTGCTTTATTTTGTTTGAGGCAGACCTATAAAGCCCAGGCTGGTCTTGAGCTTCTGAGCTTTCTGCCTCTACCTGGGATTATAGCCATGCGACATCATGCCTGTCTGATACTTTGCAAACAGACTCAACATGCTTATGAATATTCCTCCTTGCTTAAATCTACTTTAAAGTTTTGGCCCCCTGAAATTTTTTTAATATACTTAATAGAATTTTAGTTTGTAAATGTACCATAATCCCTTTGGCCATTTTCCTACTACTTTGTCATCAGGTTTTAATTTATGAGGTGCCTGACAACATGAAGAGGTCCATACCTTTGGAACAGTTTGCTATTACGATGTTTTGTCTTTTTTTCCTCAGGCCTAGTATGTGTTGTACCACTGATAGGTATCCCTAGCTCTTGGTTCTTATAGAAATGAGAGCCATAGTATGCCTTGTAGGTACAGGGAGAAACCCAGGACTGGCCAGTTTGAATTACTCTGTCAGCCTTTGTACCATAGGAACTTGCTTTAGTTCTTTGGAACCTACCTGTTCCTGGGTGATTTGGGGCAGTGGAAATAATGGCTTGGTGAAAATTGGATAAAGGAATGAATGGTTGAGGGTTTGAATTTGAGATTTCCCAGTTTACATGTGAGGAGTGTCCCCAAGCAGGCAATAGCTAGTGATAGGATGCATAGTCTCTGCCTATAGAATATAAACATGACTAATAGACCACTTATCACTTCATTATATTTTTTGGTGCTGTAAATGTTTTAATTAAATAAAACTGTAATGCTATTATGTATAAAATTTTCCTTGTACAAAAATCACTGTAATGTATTTTATTATTTAAGTCCTTAGGAAAAGAACAGTTAAGTTTAAAGGGCTTAAGAATTTTAAGATAATGTAAAATATTGTAGAATCATGTATTAGAAAGACCACAGACTAGTCTTTTGTTTTTGTATTTATTATTTATCTGGGTGAGACCATATGTGTTGTGGCACATGTGTGGAGCCAAGAGGCAACTTGTGAAATTGGGTTCTCTCTACCATGTGGTTTCAGGTAAAGCTCAGATCATCAAGCTTAGAGGCAAATGCCTGTAAATCTGAACAATCTTGGTGGTTCAGGAATAGTTTTTACTTCCTTTAGCTGTTTGTATTTCTCATGCTATTTGCTAAGGTGATAGACTAGTATTTCTTCTTCCTCCTCCTTCTCCTCCCTCCTCCTCTTCTTCTTCTTTTTTTTTTTTTTTTTTTTTTTTTTTGAGGCAGAATTTCTCTTTATTGCTTTGCAACCTGTCCTGGAACTAGCTCTGTAGACCAGGCTGGCCTCGAACTCATAGAGATCCTCTTGCCTCTGCCTCCCTAGTGCTGGGATCAAAGGCATGTGCCATCACCACCTGGTGACTATTATTTCTTTAAGTGACCCTCACAACTATTCTCGCTATTCCCCACTGTCATCGTGTCACTACAGTATGTGTGATCACAGTATTATTTTTTTAAGTTAAATTTATTATATTATTTTGTGTACATGGGTGTTTTGCCTTCATGTATTTCTGTACACCATGTGTATGAAGTGTTGGATTCCTCTGGGACTAGAGTTTGTGAGCCAGTATGTGGGTGCTGTTGTGTTTGGGACATTTGCCATCATTAGCCTAAGTAAATTAGGCTTGTTTTCCCAGCTTTTTGAATTTCAGATGAGTAAAAATGTTTGAAAGAGATAGAGAAATTAGAAAAAAAAAACAACTTTTCATTATACTAGATAATAGTTTTAAAACACTTGAAAATAAAAACCCCTGAAATCAATTGGTATATTCCTCAGTCTCTAGTTGGCCCATAAAAGGATATTCAAAACAAATAGTATGTCTATCATGGTGGCACACTGCCTTTAATCATGGCACATGGAAGACAGGGTTAGACAGATCTTCATGAGATCCAGGTCAGTTGAAACTACATAATGAGACCCTATCTTAAAAAGCATGGGTATGGTATTATATAAGAAGCTGTTAGGACTGGAAAGATGGCTTAGTAGTTGAGAGCACTGGCTGCTCTTCTAGAGGACCCATATTCAGATCCCAGCACCCAACAGCAGCTCACAACTGTCTGCAACTGCAGCTCCAGGGGATCTGACACCCTTATGTATACGGTAGATAAAACACCAATGCACATAAAATTTAAATAATCAGTTAAAAGAAATGGTTGTCATTTTAATCTTTTTGCTGGGGGAGCTTTCTGAGGCAGGGTTTCTTTGTGTACTAATCCTAGCTGTCCTGGAACGCACTTTGTAAATCAGGCTGGCCTCGAACTCAAAGAGATCTTCTTCTGCCTCCCAAGTGCTGTGATTAATGCACTATTATATCCAGCTGTCATTTTAATATTTTTGAGAATGTATTGATTTTATGTGTGTGTGCCTAAATATAGTACGCATACCACAAGTGTTCAGGCATCTGCATAGGCCAGCAGATGGCATTGAATTTCCTGGAACTGGAGTTAAGTGGTTGTGAGCCATTCATGTAGGTGATGGGAGCCAAACCTGGGTCCTGTGCCAGAGTAGACCATATTCTTAACCATTGAGCCCCACCTCTTCAGCCCAAGAGTAGTCATTTATATTGAATGTAATTTAAAAAACAAAACAAACAAACAAACAAAAACCCAAAATACCCCAAACTCACTACATTTCTTTGTTATTCTTTAATTTTTTGGCATTTAGTTTGTGTGTTTACTGGCTGATGTCTGTCTGGCTTCTGGTCCTGGGAGACTCCCCCATTCTCTCCTCTCTTCCCTTGTTCTTCTCTCTCTTGAGCCTAGATTTCTCCTCCTATTTATTCTCTCTGCCTGCCAGTCCTACCTATCCTTTTTCTGCCTAGCTTTTGGTTGTTCAGTTCTTTATTAGACCGTAAGCAGGCAAGGTGAACCAAATGCAACACATCTTTACATAATTAAACAAATGCAGCATAAGCAAAAGTAACACATTTTTGCCTAGTTAAATAATATTCCACAATACAGATGTTTCTTCTTGAGGTCTTAGAGCATGGAGTTCATCTCTGTCTTGCATTCTTCTAATAGTGTTGTAAGAGCCTGTTTACTTGCTTAACCTCTCAAGAAACTGTACATAACTTAAAATTAGAAGTTGTATTTTGTTTATATATCTAACCTGTGCTTGAGTAGTACCCAATATACAGAAGAGATTTATTTGATAAATGGTTGTTCAGTGATTATGTCAAGGCATCAAAATGATTATTTTATGTAATGTGTGGCAAAATATATATAGTGCATGGTAGCTTTTCTCTTTTGGGGTTCAGAGAATTATCTAACTTGAAAAATGTGTTTTTACATTTCAGGAGCATTTAGACAGTACCCATGGGTCAGTCCATTCTTTAGATGCAGACTTGCTGTTACCATCTGGAGATCCATTCAGTAAATCAGACAGTGACATGTTTAAAGATGGACTCCGGAGAGCTCAGTCTACAGACAGCTTGGGAACCTCAAGCTCATTGCAATCAAAAGCATTAGGCTATAACTACAAAGCAAAGTCTGCTGGAAACTTGGATGAATCGGATTTTGGACCACTGGTTGGAGCAGATTCTGTGTCTGAGAACTTTGATACTGTGTCCCTTGGGTCACTGCAGATGCCAAGTGGATTTATGTTAACCAAAGATCAAGAAAGAGCAATTAAGGCAATGACACCTGAACAGGAGGAGACAGCATCCCTCCTCTCCAGTGTCACCCAGGGTATGGAGAGTGCATATGTATCTCCCAGTGGTTACCGCTTAGTGAGTGAGACTGAATGGAATCTCCTGCAGAAAGAGGTGAGTTATTCTGACCTTGTTTCTTTTTTTCTCTTTTTCTTTTGAGAAAGAGTTTCATGTAGCCCAAGCTAGCCTCCAACATACTATATGGTGAAAATTACCTTGAAACTCAGATGATGACTGTTGATCTACCTGCCCACTCTAGTGCTGGGATTATAGGTATGTGCCACCATAGCTTGGTCTCTTGAACTCTGGTATTCATTGTTGAGTCAGTAGATAGTTCCTGCAGTCAGTGCAGGCATGTGCTGCTAGCACATACTCATCCCTTGTCAAATCTGCTTTGTCTCTTCTATACGAAGTCACAGAAAACTGGTTACTCAGAGGTGTTAACAAGCACCATAGGTAGAGCAGTCTGAATTTGGGCTATTAGGTTATTGCAGCTGAGTGTATTCATGATTCACTTACTCATTTTTCCTTCAGTTCTAAAATGCAAAAGTGGTTAAGCACTTGATACAGAGAGTGTAAATTTAAGGAGGATTGGAAACATGGGAGAGAAAAAAAAAGGCAGCCTCGTTGAAGGGCAATTTTCCTTAAAGTATTTTCAAACTTCAGAGATTAGGTGTTAAGAATGTAAATTGTGCCAGGTGGTGGTGGCTTGTGCCTTTAATCCCAGCACTTGGGAGGCAGAGGCAGAGGCAGGAGGATCTCTGTGAGTTTGAGGCCAGCCTGATTTACAGAGGGATTTCCAGGAGCCATGGGTACACAGAGAAATCCTGTCCGGGGGTGGGGGGGGGTTGGGAGGGGGTGGTGTAAGTTGTAATCACATACTGCTTTACAGATTTCCATGCCTTTTCACATACCTCGTCTCTTTGAGCTTTATGATTATAATGAGGCAATCAGGTCAAAACTGTCCCCAGTTACAGATGAAGAAAGTAGCTTAGAAAGATCAAGTAAAATCTGGGTTAGAATCTAGGTTCTCTGACATTAGTGCTTTCCATTACTCAGGGCTACTTTTCTTTAAAGAAGCACTCAGTGAGTGAGTGGAACAGCCTGATAAACCTAAATGAACTACTGTTCTTGAGCTATGCAGGACATGTAAAGAACATGCTACTTAGTGGTGTCATATCCAGGTGTCACTGGAGCCGGTGATGGGGAATTGGTGTTGCCTTCCTTCTCTTCTCACCATTGGTTAGATAGCATTGAGTGCATGGTATAGCACCTTTTGCTTGCTTTGTGTGTTCTTCATATGTGGTGTTTTGTGGCCTTTGGTGCTAGTTGTGTCCTTTGTTTTCCTACAATACTTGCATTGGAGGTTATGACTTTTGGAATATGACTCTGTATTGTAATTTCCTCCTGTATATTTGAATTGTTTACTTTGTACTATTCACTGAGTAACACTGGTAAGAATGTGCATTTGTTCCTTGAGTATGAGACGTAGAATTATTTTGTTCTGCCTGATAAGTGTTAATTTTGGTGCCCTTCAGGTACATAATGCTGGAAATAAGCTTGGTAGACGTTGTGATATGTGTTCCAATTATGAAAAACAGTTACAAGGAATTCAGATTCAGGAAGCTGAAACAAGAGACCAGGTGAGTTTCATTAGAGGAACAGAGTTGTCTTTTTTTTTTTTTTTTTTTTTTTTTTTTTTTTTTCTTTCTTTCTTGTCTGCTTTATGATGTGTATCTATCTGGTTATGGAATAATCTAGCACATACAGTGGCTGCTGATTTCTAGTGAGAGCCCAGTAGGACTCTGGGTATCCATGCTTCATTAGCATGCCAACTCCATACCAGCCAACTCAGTTCTCAGAGGTGCTAACAGCACCTTAGCTCCTTTCTCTGTACCCTATCACTTAGAGCCTCAATACTTAAACTTGATGCTGGCTTGATCAAACTCTCACAGTGTACTTCATGGTACATAGATCAGGAAGGTAAGGTTTACTGTGGCCTCTGACAGAGTAAAAGCTAGCTGAACTCTTTGATTACGGCCTATTTGTTGTAAAATTGTTGACTTGATTAATGGCATAGATCTACAGGGCATAGAAGTTTATAGCTCCCACAGGTTTGGATTACTGAACTTGAGTAAAGTTCTTTTCCAAATACAGAGTAGAATATTACGACATTGGTAATACTCAGGTAACAATGTAGAATTTAACAAGAGTAAGCCTTGTGAAAGCATGTCAGGAAAAGTTAGTATTTTTCTTTGGTTGTTATGAAGATTATTTATTGCCTTTACCATCAGAACTTGAAAGGAGGTTAGAATGATGGTCTTGTATTTTCAAATGTCACTACTATTCAATTCCTCATCTGTAGTATTTTTATTCATAGTTTACAGATGAAATTTTCAAGCTACTTAAAAAATTAAGATAATACATTGGCCTTTGATAGTCTTACATGGAAAAGTGCTTTCTTGGATTCCTTAGTTATTTCTGTAGACTTCTGTTGATGCTTCTTGTATGCCTGGTGTTTTGCTGGATCCTATAGCTAAAAGATGGTTTTGATCCATAACCAATTACAAACCAAACATAAATTCAATCCAGCTCATTCCTAGAGATGAACATCTAGATTAGAGGAGGGTATGCAGCTTAGCTGTAGGCTCAAGAAAGGCAGCATTTGTGTGTTTGCTTTAGAGCCAGTTTTCAAATTAGGAGAACTAGGTAAGGAGAAAGTATATTCAAGGAGGGGAAATGTACAGAGCCATGAGAGAGAGTATGTTTCAGGACATGTGGCTGGTATGGGAGTTTATAAACTAGTGGGAGAAGGAGCTACAAAGGGAGGCCAGGTGAGACCAGTGAGGTGAGGTGATAATCACAGGAGATTAAGAGGCAGGGGATAGGGTAGACAGGGAAGCCAATTCTATATCCTGGAGGGTAGCAGGGAAGAGGTTTTCAAATGAGGGTATGTATGTGGAAAGCTGTTAACTGTAAAGCACACTGTAGCTCTTGAGGCCATTCATTTCTTTCTGAATTGACAAGTTTATGGGACTTCTCAAAAATTTTTTTTGAGTTACTTTTAATTTACAAAAAATTTGTGGGCTGTGGGTGTGTAACACAGTGGTAGAACCCTTGCCTAGCATGCATGAGGCCCTGGAGTTAACTCCTTGGGCCACTGTAAACAACAACAGCAAAAACCCAACTGCTTCTTTCTTTGACTTTTTAAATTATATAGGTGAAAAAACTGCAGGTCATGCTAAGGCAAGCTAATGACCAGCTGGAGAAGACAATGAAAGAGAAACAGGAGCTGGAGGACTTTATGAAGCAGAGTACTGAGGACTCAAGCCACCAGGTGAGTGATGCATGAGCGATGACTAGCTTGTTAAAATTACATTTAAAAATTCAAAAACTATAGTTACTTTAATTCTTTTGTTTTGAAGATCTGGCAGTTTTATTTTCTCTTGAGATAAAAAGTTTTTACTGGTCTTTCTGTGATATTTTAAAAAAGAATTTACTTATATTTTAAATGTGTATGAGTGTTTTGACTGCATGTTTGTATGTGTATCACACACACATTTGGTCCCCTGGAAGGTCAGGAGAAGGGGTCAGATCCCCTGGAATTGAAGTTATATGGGTAGTTTGAGCCACTGTGTGTGTGCTGGGTACTAAACCCAGCTCCTCTGCAAGAACAACACGTTTCTTAACTGCTGAACTATCTTTCCAGCATCTTGTTATCTATTATTCATGATTTTTCTTTTGAAATAATCAGTTAATCTATTTAATGCATTTCTAAGGACTCTGGCTCTGATTCTCTTTTTTTGTGTTTCCTTTGTTTTCCTTGGTGCATAAGAACCTCATGAACACAAAGTTAGAAATTGCTGGCTGGGAACGTAGCTCAGTTGGTAAAACACTTGTCTAGTATTTATTAAGCATTGACTTTGATCCCTAGCACTGTATAAACTGGGGTGTGTGTGTGTGTGTGTGATGGTACATACCTCTTCTCTCTTCACTTGGGAGGTAGAACAAGAAGGGTAGAAGTTCAAGGCCATCCTTAGTTATGGACTAGGAGGCTAGTCTGACTGTTTGAGACCTTGTTTCAAAAAAAACAAAACAAGGACTGACAAGATGACTCAGTATGTAAAGGTGTTTACCACTAAGCCTGAATTCAGTCCCTGGTTCCCACTACCACCCCTACAACTACTACTTATCGTTATTATTATTTTTATTACTTCATTATTATTGAGACAGTGTCTCTTTACATAGTCTTGGCTGTCCTGGAACTCATTATGTAGAACAGGCTGGGGTTGAATTCATAGAGATACACCTGGTTCTACCTCTAAAATGATGGGATTAAGGGCATGTGTTACCATGCCTGGAAAAAATTGTATCTAGCTATACCACTGTTTATCCAAACAACAGTCTAGAGATGCTTAGGTGTTTCTAGATTTTGCAAATGGTGAATTTTCTATAAAGATTCTTGTATATGTCTATCTATTAGTGGATACATAGACTGACTTCTCTTGAGCATAGGTAGAAATAGTGAGAGAGATCGGGAGGTTGCTTTATAGGTTAACCCTTCAGCTCTTCTAGCTATTTCTGCTGACCATTAGTTGTTCAAATGATTATGTGTAATTAGGTTTCTGTGCTTCTATATGTCTAGTCTCTCTTCCTCTCTCTTTCCCCCCTCTCCCTCCCTCTTTCCCTATTTTGTTTTTCCAGACAAGATTTTTCTGTGTAATAGCCCTGTCTGTCCTGGAACTCACTTTGTAGACTAGGCTGTCATTTAAGCCCTTGTTGATTCAGTAGCTAATAGCTCTTGTATCTGGACCTTGAAGATCTACATCTATTTTTTTTTTAAGCCAGTCCCTTGTGTATTCATGTTAAATGCTGTATGTTCTATTAAAATGAATAATGAATGGACTAGCTGTAGCTAAGTGGATAGATGCTTGGTTAGCATTCAGGAGATCCTTGGCTCATTCATTCCTTAGTACCACAGGTGTAATCTCAGCACTTGGGTGTTTGAGACAAGATCAGAAATTCAAAGGGCATTTCCTTATGAGAGGTAGGTAACTAGTGATACTCACAGTCCTGCATCATTTATGCAGTAGCAGGAACCGAGATTGTATAAAAATTTGAAGGTTAGATTATTTAAAGTCTTCATTTCCTCAAGAATGCTACCGGATGCTTTGTTGGTGCATCCTGGATTTTTTACTTTTGCCACCTTATCTGGCTCTCAGGTACCCAGCTCTTCTGTCTGTGTCATAGCTGTGTCTCCTTTCCTTTTCCTTTCTTCTTCCCTCCCTCCGTCCCTCCTTTCTTCCCTCTCTCCCTTTCTTCCCCCCCCCCTCTTTCTTTTGTTTTTTTTTTGAGATGGTTTCTCTGCATTGTTTTGGAGCCTGTCCTGGAACTCACTCTGTAGATCATGCTGGCCTAGAACTCAAAGAGATCAGTCTGCCTCCTGCCTCCCAAGTACTGGGATTAAAGGCGTGTGCCACCACTGCCCAGCTATAGCTGTTTCTTTTAGAATTGTGCTTTTGGAAAGCTGTTTCAAACACTGTGTCCCATACTCTGTACTTGTCCAGTGCTTTCAAAGAAATACAATTTTGGGGTTGGAGAGTTGTGTCTAGAAATTAAGAACACATACTGCTCTTGTAGAGGAGCTAAATTCAGTTCCCAACATCCACCAACAGTTGTCTCTAACTCCAGCTCCAAGAAATCCAATGCCCTCTTCTGGCCTTTGCAGATACTGCACAGACACAAACCCAAACTCAGACACACATATATACACATAAATAAAAATACAACTAACAAAAATCTTTAGGAAAGATTCATTTTATATTTTTATGCAGCCTAATTGTCAATAGTTTTGTTCATATCTGTTATTATTAGAAACAAAATTTGTTGGGTTTTTTGGTTGTGTTTTGTTTTTGTGTTGTGAGACAGAGTTTCTCTGTGTATCTCTGGCTGTCCTGAAACTTGCTCTGTAGATCAGACTGGCCTCAAACTCATAGAGATCTATCTGTCTCTGCCTTCCAAAGGCTGGGATTAAAGGCATAGGCCGCCACTGTCCAGCTAGAAACAGAATTCTAACAATCATTTTTATAATGTCTACACAAAATTATTTCTATTAGTTTTTGTGTGTTTTCAGTAATTCCTTCCCCAGGGATATTAAAACTAATTCAAAACAGTTGGGAGTTAAGTGATAATTAATCATTCTTCAATACCTACCTTAGAAGATTGCAACCAACTCAGAAAGGATTCATTTATCCTTTAAAGGTGTGTTGTCTCTTCTCTTTTTCTCTCCTTCTTTCATTTTAAAGAAGTACATTTATTTGTGTACACACACACACACACACACCATGCATGCATGTATATGTATATGTGTGTATATATGTGTGTGTGTGTGTGTGTGTGTGTGTGTGTGTGTGTGTGTATGTATATGAATATGTGTGGCCATGGCATTTGTGCAGAAATCAGAGGACAACTTGCAGTAGTCATTTCTTTCTTCCACTGTATGGGTTATGAGGAGCAAACTCAGGTCATCAGGTTTAGTAGCAAGTGCCTTTATCTGCTGTGCCTTTGCTCCAGCCCCAGGCTTCTAGTTTTTTTTTTTTTTTTTTTTTTTTTAAGCCTCTTAAAAATATAATCCTAACTAGATCATGTGTGTTCTCATCTTTCTTAGAAGCAGTTACTACTGTTTGTTGATGTGAGTCAGCATGTGACTTAAGCTTTGTTCATGCTCTAGGGTACACAAAAGTCTTGCCTTATAGCAAGTCCACACATTGGTTTAATGAAAGATGCTTGGTTCATGGATTTGCTGTGGAATAATGGGATGCAGGGTTAGCTTCAGATAACCAGTTTGTAACTGTGTGTTTTCATGTGTGCATCTTCTTTTCAGATATCTGCACTTGTTCTAAGAGCTCAAGCCTCTGAGGTCTTACTTGAAGAATTACAGCAAAGCTTTTCTCAAGCAAAGAGGGATGTTCAGGAACAGATGGTGAGTCGGCATTTGAAATACATGTCATATGCAACCTTTATTCCTGTTTTTTCTCTCTCAAGATTATCTTTAATATGACTTTTACCCTGCTCAAAGTAGCTACTGTTAGATACTCCATTTATGATGGTAAAATACTGTACAGACATCCTTCCTTCTAATCAGAGCTCCTCATTCTGCCCCATTTCATCTTTACCTTTTCTGCCTTGGGAAACCTAAACAGAGCAAGCTATAATAGAATAGTATTTAATTTTCAGTTTAAAATAAAAGCTAATAGAATAGAGAAAATTGTCATCTCCAGTTCACACAGCTTTTGAATACTTACGTGGTTTTTATGGGCAGCTTATTTATTTAGAATAACCTTATTAATTTCCCAGGCTTTATGTTTGTTGTAGCTCTGGAGACCTTTCAGAAGGCTATTAGAGGTGAGGGATGGAAGCAGAGCTTCATGAGGAGTGGCCACCAGGAGCCTTTGTGGAGTACTTTTGAGGCTTGGGTCTCCTTTCTCTCTAGTCTGACTGTTTGTCTTGTTGGACTGTGTATCTAATGGCCTGGATCAGTTGTGGCAGAGTTGTTCTTTTGAGGATGACTGTAAAGCTTTTATTTACCTAGTACTTTCAGAGGGACCATTAGAAGGCTACAGGTGGGATGGTATTTATTTATTTTTCTTATTTTACATATTGATCCCAGTTCCCTCTCCCTTCCTCCCTCTCTCCCATCCTCCCATATCCCCTGACCACCCTCCCATCCCATCACCCCTCCCAACCCACTCCACAGGTAGGGTGATTCCTTCCTGGAGGAGTCATCTAAATATGTCAAGTCATTTGGAGTAGGAACTAGGCCCTCCCTCCAGTCTCTAGGTTAAGGAGAGTATCCCTCCATGGGGAACATGCTCCCAAAGCTCCTTTTGTGCACCAGGGATACATCTTGGTTCCACTGTCAGAGGTCCCTTAGACTGCCCAGGCCTTCTAACTGAGACCCATGTTCAGGGGGTCTGAGTCAGTCCAGTGCTGGCTTCCCAGCTATCATCTAGAGGCCCATTAGCTCCTCCTTGTTCAGGTCAACTGTCTCTGTGAGATTCTGTAGCCTGGTCTTGTCTTCCCTCTCTGCATCTGGATTCCAGTTTGGCTCAGTGTATAGCTGTGGGTGTCTGCTTCCAGCTACTAGATGAGGGCTCTATGATGGTGGATAAGTTAGTCATCAATCTCATTATCAGGGAAGGGCATTTATGGTAGCTTTTCCACTGTTGCTCAAATTGTTAGTTGGAGTCAGTCTTGTAGGTCTCTGGACATTTCTCTAGAGTCAGTTTTCTCTTCAAACCTATAATGGCTCCCTCTTTATGGTATCTCTCTCTTTTTTTCTCTCTCATCTATTCCTCCCCTGACTGAATTTTCCCAGTCCCATGTGCTTTTCTCTCCTCCCCTTCTCTTTCTCCTAGCTCCCTCTCCACTTACTACCTCCCTCCCCCACACTCCCAATATGCTCAGGAGATCTTGTTCATTTCTACTTCTGTGAGAGACCTTGTATGAATCTCTTAGAATCCTCCTTGTATCCTAGTTTTCTCTGGCGGTGTGAATTATAGGCTGGTGATCCTTTGCTCTATGTCTAAAATCTATATATGAGTGAGTACATACCATGCTCCTCTTTTTGTGACTGGGTTACCCCATTCAGGATGGTTTCTTCAAGTTCCATCCACTTGCCTGCGAATTTCAAGATAACATTGGTTTTTTTCACAGAGTAGTGTGCCATTGTGTAGATGTGCCACATCTTTATCCTTTCTTCAGTTGAGGGGCATCTAGGTTGCTTCCAGGTTCTTGGTATTACAAATAATACTGCTATGAACATAGTTGAGCATATGTCTTTGTTGCATGGATGTGGATCATTTGGATATATGCCTAAGAGTGGGATTGCAGGGTCCTGTGGTAAACTAATTCCCATTTTCCTGAGGAACTTCCATACTGATTTCCAAAATGGCTGTACAAGTTTGCACTCCCACCAGCAGTGGAGGAGTGTTCCCCTTTCACCACATCCTCTCCAGCATAAGTTGTCATTGGTGTTTAGTCATTCTGGCAAGAGTAAGATTGTATCTCAGAGTTGTTTTGATTTGCATTTCCCTGATAGCTAAGAATGTTGAATACTTTCTTAAGTGTCTTTTAATCTTTTTGATTTTCTCTATTGAGAATTCTCTCTTCAGTTCTGTACCTCTCCTTTTTTTTTTTTTTTTTTTTTTTTAAATAGGGTTATTTGGTGTTTTGTTGACTAGTTTCTTGAGTTCTTTGTATATTTTGGAGATCAGTCCTCTGTCAGATGTAGGATTGGTGAAGATCTTTTCCCACTCTGTGGGCTGCCATTTGGTCTTGTCAACTGTGTCCTTTGCCTTACAGAAGCCTCTCAGTTTCAGGAGGTTGCATTTATTAATTGTCCATCTCAGTGTCTGTGCTACTGGAGTTATGTTCAGGAAGCGGTCTCCTGTACCAGTTTGTTCAAGAGTACCTCCTACTTTCTCTTCTAAGAGATTCAGTGTGGCTGGATTTATGTTGAGGTCTTTGATCTATTTGGACTTGAGTTTTGTGTGTGGCGATAGACATGGATCTATCTGTAGTCTTCTACACACCATCATCCAGTTGTGCCAGCACCATTTATTGAAGATGTTTTCCTCCTCACATTGTATACTTTTAGCTATTTTGTCAAAAATCAGGTGTTCGTAGGTATGTAGGTTAATATCAGGATTTTTGATTCTATTCCATTGGTCTACTTGTCTATTTTTATGCCAATAACCAGGCTGTTTTCAGGACTATAGCTCTATAGTAGAGCTTGAAGTTGGGGATGGTGATGCCTCCTGAAGTCCCTTTGTTGTACAGGGTTGTTTTGGCTATCCTGGGTCTTTCGTATTTCCATATAAAGTTGATTATTATCCTTAATTTCTTTCTTTGTTTCTTCTTTGACCCAGGTATGGTGCAATTGCGTATTGTTCGGTTTCCATGAGTTTGTAGGGTTTCTGTGATTTGTGTTGTTGTTGAATTCCAACTTTAAAGCATGGTGGTCTGATAAGATACAGGCGACTATTCCAATTTTTTTTGTATCTGTTGAGGTATGTGGTCGATTTTAGAGGTTCCATGTGGAGCAGAGAAGAAGGTATATTCTTTTGTGTTTGCTTGGAATGTTCTATAGATGCCTGTTAAACCCAATTGAGACATAACTTCTTTTGTTTCTGTGTTAAGTTTCTGTCTGGTGGTCCTGTCTAGCAGTGAGAGTGGGGTGTTGAAGTCTCCCACTATGAGTGTGTGAGGTTTTATGTGAGCTTTGAGTTTTAGTACAGTTTCTTTTACGAATGTGGGTGCCTTTGTATTTGGGGACATAGAAGTTCAGAATTGAGACTTTGTGCTGATGGATTTCTCCTGTGATGATGATGAATACGAAATGACCGTCTTTCATCTCTTTTGATTGATTTTGGTTTGAAGTTTAACTTGTTAGATATTAGGTAGCTACATCTGCTTAGCTAAGCCATTTCTGTCAAGTTGTGAGCCCGCCTATCATTGCCTTTGCTTACCATAATGTGGTTTGACATACCAGAACTGGATGAAATCTGTTTCTGGGTGAGCTCTCTCTGGCTAGTACCAGGGTGGATTTGTTTTTTTCTCCAAGTATGAAGCTTCTAGAGAGATTCCATTTCCTTGGGGTACAGTGTTTCATGAGTCTGGTAGTCAAAGGGAGGGTCATGTGTGTCTTTGAAGATCTTGCTGGGCTAAGTACAGATTGAGAGTGATCATAAGGCACAGCCAACTAGCCTCAAGAGAATAAAGCCAATAATGTTTAACCAAAGTTTGTACATGGCCTGCCTGCCTGCTTTTGGGATTCAGCTTGTTCATCACCCACCTTCGGAGATGTCTTTAACTCTCTCTCGCAGACCTCTTCCTCCTACGGGTGTGTCCCTTCAACCTTGTACTGTTCACTAAGCCAATTTTGTTATGGCACCATTTCACACTGAGGGTAGTTTTTGCTTTAACTAAACTTTTCTCTTCACCATAGCACTTAATTATAGCTCAGAAAACTGGGCATGGTGGCATATGCTGTCAATCCCATCACTGGGAAAACAGAGGCAGGTAGATCTCTTGAGTTCAAGGCCACCCTGGATTACATAGTGAGCTCCAGGCCAGATAGGGCATTGATCCTCTTCATTAGGTGTAATGAGGGAGTGGTGTAGAAGCTTGAGACAGGTTCTTTTGTTGCTCTGGCTGGCCTTGAATTTTCTATCCACCTAAGGCTTGCTTGATCTTTGGATCCTATGCTCAGGTGTTCTGCGTGCTGGGATCTTGGGCATACACCACCAAATCAAGCCATAGATCCTTTTGAAGACTTGCAGCCTGGGGCTCCCCAGCTGTTCACTTGCTCCTGGACTTGAATATTGTATGTGTAGTGGGTATAAGGGAAGATGGAGATACTGCCTTTTCCTTTCTTCTGTAGAATATTTGTTCTGTTTGACGTGTGTGTGTGTGTGTGTGTGTGTGTGTGTGTGTGTGTGTGTGTGTGTGTCTTGTGTCAGCCATTTCTACTGAGCCATAGAATCTGGTCCCACTGTGTTCTCCAAAGAAACTGAATATTTTTCAATTGCTGGTAGGAACAGTAGAGAATGAGCTTCCATGCTTCTCTCATTGCCTGACACTTGCTGAATATATAGAAAGACTGCAAATAAAAAAATGGGATGGGGCTGGTGGGGTGTGAGATGACTCTGCAGGGGAAGATGCTTGCTTGGCCTTAATATGATACCTGGAACCCCTGTAAACATGGAAACAAAGAATGGACTCCACAAATTTGTCCTCTGGTCTCCACATACATGTTGCGGCACACACTTATCCACACCACAATAAATCAGTGTACAAAATGTAAGTTATGAACTGTGTGTATGTTTCAGAAGTTTTACATTGGCCTTGGAAGTTTTATTTTGGCTTTCTTTTTCTCTGATGTGTATGTCACTAAACTGGGTTTACCTTCCTAGCTGTGATTAGCATCTGTTTCTATTTTAGGCTGTGCTGATGCAGTCTCGTGAACAGGTTTCAGAAGAGCTGGTGAGGTTACAGAAAGACAATGACAGCCTCCAGGGAAAGCATAGCTTGCACGTGTCATTACAGCTAGCAGAAGACTTCATTCTCCCAGATACTGTGGAGGTAATGTATTTGCCACATCATCAAAAGAACAACAACAACAACAACAAAAAGGGTACTTTTTGAAATGGTTGTAAGTTCTTTTAAAAAAAAAAATCTTCTAACTTAGTCTTTAAAGTTTGGCCCCACAGAGGGTGTTGGTGGCTCACGTCTTTAAACCCAGCACTCGGGGAGGCAGAGGTAGGTGGATCTCTGTGAGTTCAAGGCCAGTCTGGTCTTCAGAGCGAGTCCCAGGACAACCTCCAAAGCAATACAGAGAAACCCTGTCTTGAAAAACCAAAACCAAACCAAAACGACAAAAAAACAAAAAGGTTGGCCTCACTAATAGCTTTGGTTGGCCAGAAACGAACTGCAGACTTGTCTCTGCCTGCCTTTTTTTTTTAATTTTTGTTTTGTGTTGTTTTTCAAGATAGGGTCTCACTGTGTTGCATTGGCTGTTCTGGAACTCACGATGTGGACCAGGCTGGCCTATGATACACAGCATTTGAGAAGCGGGGGCAGGAGGATTGCTGTGTGTTTGAGGAGACAGTGCTATATAGTAAGTCTCAGGCCAGCCTGCACTACACCTGAGACTGTCTAAGATTAAAAAAAAAAAAATCAAATGTAACATAAATTTATCTTTTTATACGTTTCCTCGAGTTCTTCCTTACCCTAAATCCTACCAGATTTAAGTTATACCTAACTTTTTTTCTGTGTACATACTAACATTACTATTAGTGGTTTGTTGTTTTACTATTAAAGACAGTTGTTTATTGTGACCAATGCCCACAGCTGTGGTCTAGCCCAGGCCTGCACTCTCAGGAGAGCTCTTGTTCTTTTCTTAACTGGTAATCTCTGGTGCAGAAGGCTTGGGAAACACATGCCTTTGTGTGAGCTTTAAATATCTTCACTACCACCTTCACCTCAGGCTGGAAAAAGTTGTGTTCTGTTCTCTAGAGAATTTTTATTCCTAGATTTTTAAAGCTTTCTAAAATGAGCATGATAGTGCTTGCCTGCAATGCCAGCACTCTAGAGGCTGAGCAGGACTTCCTGAATATATAGTCAGATGTGCTGTGTAGGGAGTTCCAGGCCAGCCTGGGCAACATAGGTAAGCCCCATCCCCCAAAACTAGGTAAAGGTAATTAATCAGAAAGCTATTTGGGGATGCCAATTTGGATATTATTTAATTTCCAGAAGACCTAAAATTTGGGGAAGGAAAGCCAGATATGGTGTCATATTCCTGTAATCCAGCACTTGGGAGGCAAAGGCAGGTAGAGCTCTGTGGGTTGAGGCCAGCTTCTCTCAACAAAAGGAAAATGGTAGGAGGGCATATAAGCTTGTTGCCCTAGAAAGCCTTTCTTTGTGGGGGGGGGGGGGTCAGTGGGTCATTACTTACCTGACACAGTATTTTGCCTAAGGAGATTTACAATGAGCATTTGAATGTGTGAATAGGTAAGTTAAATGTATTTTATCCTGAGTTTACATTTGTTCTGAGTTCTTCTCATTTCATCTTTGTGAAGGTATTTGTAGTGAATTTCATGTGTAAACTTGTATAACTAATTTTTTTCTGCTGATAAGACAACTTTGAGGGAAAATGTAGTTTACAACACAACTTTTTAGCCGTGCTGGATGTTAATATGCAAAGGAGTGTGCTTTCAGAAAGAGCATTGTGTTTTTGTTGTGTGGAATGTGTTTTACTCTTTTGGCTTTTTTGAGGAGCCCATCACCCAGCTCCCAAATAAATCACACACAGTGTCTTATTATTACTTATGAATGTCTGACCTTAGCTTTGGCTTGTTGCTTGCCAGCTTTTCTTAAATTAACCCATATACCTTTTGCCTCTGGGCTTTTCCTTTTCTATTCCTGTGTACCTTTCTTTTCCTTCTTATTCCGTGTCTTGCTATGTAGCTGGGTGACTGGCTGCTGGCGCCCTCCTCTCCTTGTTTTCTCATGGCTCTTTCTTCTTCATTTCTCCTTCTGTTTACAGTCTCTGCCTTCCAGTCCCACCTATCCTTTCTTCTGCCTTGCTATTGTCCATTCACCTCTTTATTAGGACCATCAGGTGTTTCAGATAGGCAAAGAATTACAGCTTCACAGAAGTTTAAAAAAAAATACAGCATAAACTAGAGTCACACCTTAAAATAATATTCTACCCCATACCTTAAAATAGTATTCTACCACACTTTGTGGTAATTGAAATTCATGGTCTAAATATTTAAATCATGTGAAACACACATCTTCAGCTTCTGTCACCTTCACAAATCTAGTAACTTCTTGTGTACTGATTGTAGATGCTCCGGGAACTGGTGTTAAAATATCGGGAGAACATCGTTCATGTGAGGACAGCAGCAGACCACATGGAAGAGAAGCTGAAGGCTGAAATACTTTTCCTAAAAGAGCAGATTCAAGCAGAACAGTGTTTAAAAGAAAACCTTGAAGAGACTCTACAGCTGGAAATAGAAAACTGCAAAGAGGAAATAGGTGAGAAAAAGATGTAGTTTGGGCACTGGGGGTGTAGCATTGTTGGTATAGTGCATGCCTGGATACAGGAAGACCAGAAATTCAAGACTAGCCAGGACTGCAGAAGACTGTCTCAAAAAGCAAGCTAACAAACAAAACAAGTAAACAACACATCCATGATTGTGGAAATCAGAAGTATAGGAAAGAACACCTGTCCTAGGTGTTCAGATGTACAGTAACCATGAAGCCCCTCCTCAAATACTTTGTACTTTTATGAGCTCTAATGGCAATGGAGCCAAAGGCCACCGGGTAGCAGAGTCAACTTTATTGCTAACAGCAGAATTTAGGTCACCACTCTGTGCATGTATAGTTGGCCTTTCCCTGAGCTTCTTTTTTTTTTTTTTTTTTTTTTTTTTTTTTTTGTTTTTTTTTTTTTTGGTTTTGTTTTGTTTTTAGACAGGGTTTCTCTGTATTGCTTTGGAGCCTGTCCTGGAGCTCTGTAGACCAAGCTGGCTTCCAGCTTAAAGAGATCCACCTGCTCTACCTCCTGAGTACTGGGACTAAAGGCGTGCACCACCAACACCCGGCTGAGCTTGGTTTTAATGGGATAGTTTGAGAGAGGGCACATTACTCTAGAATGTATCTCTGACTCCTCTGGGGACATTTTAAGGGGGGGGGGGAATGAAAAAATAATAAATGATTTCTAATATTTCTCCCTTTTGTCCTAGCTTCCATTTCTAGTCTAAAAGCTGAATTAGAAAGAATAAAAGTTGAAAAGGGACAGGTGAGTCACGAGTTTAAAATTAATTCTACAAACATGCAATGGTTACTTATTAAATCCTGTGCTAGAAAAAAGAAATGAAGATAGCGTGGCATAACCCTGCTTTTAAGAAACTGCCTAGTGGGAACACAGTTGGGTAGGGATAGAGAACATGTATTGAGAACTTGCTGTGTGCTGGGCCCTGTGGTGATGGGTAGAGTATGGAAGTAGAGGAGCGTCAGCCTGGCATGGCCACTACATGACTGTGCTGCACTGCAAGGATGGACACAGGTGTACCCACAGGACAGGGTATTTAGTGCCTGGCCCCTGCTACTCCCTAGCTTCAGGTACTTGACTCAAAAGACCTTTGCTTCCCATGCATTTCCACTTGTAACACTGGCTGTACCTTGTTTCTCATTATTTAATTCCAGTCTCTTCCCGTTTTACTTGAGTGCCTCTTCCAGTTCCCTATACTTGAAGCAGCAGCTTCCTGTCTTTTCTCTCTTTCCTCCTAAGCTGCGCCATTCATGGCTTATAGGGCTCTTTAGTTGGCTTCCAACACTCACTCTTGTCCTCTAACTCCTTTTTTTAAGGAAAGGTGTTTTTTCTTTTTTCTTTTTCTTCTTTTTTTTAAAAAATGTACATTGGTATATTGCTTGCATGTATGTCTCTGTGAAGGTGTTGTATGCCCTGGAACTGGAGTTATAGACAGTTGTGAGCTGCCCAGTGGGTGCTGGGAATTGAATCTGGGTCTTCTAGAAGGGCAGCATGTTCTCACCAGCACCCCCTTAACTCTTCTTTTGCTGCCCTCATTCAGTTGTTGCCCAATTCTGGATTAGGCCTGCTATTTCAAGAAGCCAATACTCCCAAAATTGGTGGCATCTCTTGCCTTTGCTGCTGTGGGTTCCATTCTTCACAATAGCTTTCAGTCACTTTCATCTCAGTATGTTCTCTGCTTCGTCATTAGACAGGGTCACTTGTAGCCCAGGTTCCCAGTTACATGCCCTCCTACTTCATCATCAGCCTTCTTTTTAAGATAAAATGATGGCGTATTTCTCACCACAATGTAACACCGATGGATGCCTTCACTGGTCCCTTCTCAGTGTTCTCTAGCTTTGAACATCTACTTCTTGATTGATCTTTCTTCCCATTGTACAGAATTGCCCAGTTGTTTCCCATTAAGAAGGGGAAGAGAGATGGACATGGGGCACACATTTGTAATCCCAGCACTCAAAGCTAATGATTCAAGTTTGATACATAGGAAGACAACCTTTCGAAAGAAAGAAAGAAAGAAAGAAAGAAAGAAAGAAAGAAAGAAAGAAAGAAAGAAAGAAAAAACCAAGTTTCTCCTTGAATTATACTTCTCTACTAAGTCATCATTATTCCAAGTTTCTTAAAAGAGTGCTGCCCTCCACCTGACCTCCTGGGCTCTTCTCTATCATAATCAGCCTTTGTTTCCCCTCTGCTTCAGAGGACTCTCTAGATCATGTTATCATGCTACAGAGATGACAACACTCAGGCCTGGAGGGTGTAGCTGGGTAGAAGAGTGCTTTCCTTGCACTGGGAAAGGAAATGCCACACTCGGATGTGCCCCATGCTTCCCACCACTGTCATTTTGGGTCCCTAGTTTTGGTGGTTTTGGGGATTGAATTTATGTGTATGCTAGGTAAGTACTGTCCCACTGAGCTACACGCCTAGCTCTGAGATGTCACCTCTCATCAGCCTATTGTCACAGCCTGACTTATTTCCTCAGAGGCCTCCAGACTGGAGCCTTTTTCAATTTATCTCTGTAATGAAGCCAGGCTGTCTCAGTCTTTAGTAGTTGAGGACAAGTCCATAGTCCTTAGTGCAGAGGTCTCTCACCTCAGAACTCTCAAGACTCCCACGATTCACAGCCCCATACTGCTGCAGGTAGCCAAACCTCACTACCATTGGGCAGGGCAGCCATTTTGCTTTTGGAACATCTCTTTATTTTCTTTACCTTGTCACCCTTTCCTTCCCCTGCAAAAATGTTAATCCATGACTGCAGTGCAAAGAGAGGAAACAGAACCACAGGTTCAGGCCTGCCTGTTACACAGCTCAAAACCAGTTCAAAACCAGCATGAACAATAACAAAAAAAATCCTGTTTCAAAAGGAGTTGGGGGGTGGTGCCTGTGACCCTGGGTTCAATCCCCAATATTAAAAGTAAAAGTCATTCATCGTCTCTTCTAGAAAATACTGTCCAATAGTCCCTGAATTAAATGCTGCTCCCTTTGTGTTGATATGTAGTAGTTATTTCCATGTCTGTTTCTCCTGGCTTCTCAGTTTCAGGCCTTAGAATTAGAATACAAATTAGTAAAGACCAGGTTTGGAAGAACAAGAAGAACCTATGCTCTGAAGCTTGAGAAGAACATTCCAGGTGCAGCCAAGTCTGAGCAAGCCTGAGTCTGGGCACAGTGTTCTGGGTTACAGATACCTCTAGATAGTGCTTGTGTGGCCTTCAAAGTTTTTATGAGTTTCAGTTTTCCCTTCTGATTCCCTTTGCACAGTTGGAGTCTACGTTAAGAGAGAAGTCACAACAACTTGAGAGTCTCCAAGAAATAAAGGTTAATTTAGAGGAACAGTTAAAGAAAGAAACTGCTGCTAAGGTAATTATGTTTATTGATCATTTAATTAAAAAAACAAAATAAACAAACAAAAAAACAAGACTAAAGCATGCACACCTTTAATTCCAGCACTAGCGAAGCAAAGGCAGATTTCTTTGAGTGAATTCAAGGCCCTCCTGGTCTACATAGTGAGACCCTTTCTCAAGCAGACAAAAACTACAAAAAACAAGGGGGCTAGAAAGATGGCTTAGTGGTTAAGTGCACTAGCACTCTTGAAGGACCTACATGTTGTATTACAGCCATTTTTTTTTAAAAAATCTAGTCACAGGGGGATCCAATGCCGCCTTCCGGCCTCCATGGGCATTGGAGGCATATGGTACACAGGCATAGTATACACAAAATACCCATACACATACATTTTTAAAAATTAAAAAAAAACAAACAAACAAACAAACAAACAAAAAACCCACAACTGTTCTTCCAACAACTTGCAAAAAGAAGATGATTTTAATGTCCCTAGAGTTCCCTCTGCCAGTCCTGGGAGCTTGTGTTATAGCTTCAGGTAGTTGATAAGAAACATTGAACCTGGAGCTGGAGAGATGGCTCAGTAGTTCAGAGCACTGACTGCTTTTACACTGGACTAGTATTCAGTTCCCAGCATGCATATGGTGGCTCACAACAATCTGTAACTCCAATTCCAGATTTGATATAACTTTCTGACACACACATTGTGCATATACACATATGCACACAATCAATATCCACATATTGAACCTAACTTGGACAGTGCTCTGTTAGAAGTATTTCTCTGAGCTGGGTGTAGGCCTGTCTGCAGTTCCTGTTACTGAAGGCCAAGTCAGGAGGATTTTTAGTTCAAAGGCCTAAAAAAGGGCTATCAGGTAGATTAAGACCAGATTTGGCAACTTAGTCGAACCATTTCTAAGGAAAAAAAAAAATGTTTAAAGGTGTGGTGGGGGCTAGGGTATAGATGTAGTTTAGCATGCATGAGGCTCTAGGCTCACTCTCCAGAGATGAAGGAGAGGCTGCTTTGAAAAACATTACTCCATCCCATCCCCGTATCAAATACTAAGATTGCCTTGAAGCAGATTTCCAGGTTATCCTGATTCTGTATAGATTAAAATGCATGTGGCTGATTATGGGGAACGTTGCCTGGACGTGATGTCTTAAAGAGCTGTGTTGGTGGTTGATTTTTAGAAAAAGGCTCCCATGATTTTCAGTAAGGAAGGCTGGAGATAGCTGGGGCTGAATGGCCCAAATTAACTAGATGTTTGATCTAGTAATTGTCAGAGGAAATTCTAAGTGTCTGTCCATGTTGCTGTGACAGCTGTTCATCTTGGGAGCAGGGACACAGCACTTTGAGTACCTTTCTTATCCTGGTTTCATACCTAGAGCAAGTGACCTACCCAACTGGCATTGTTGCCTGATGGGAAGAGAGAATGGGTGGGGGGAAGTGGATCAGCAGGTAAATGTGCTTGCTGCCCAGCAGGATAATCAGCATTTGATCCTTGGGGCCACATAGTGGAAGGAGAGATCCAGCTCTCTTAATGTCCTCCTGGTCCTCACCTGTGAGTTCTTCCCTCTCCACCCTACTCCACACGTCATACATGTAAAAGAAAGAGATAATGGGAGTGGGGATAAAGCTGAGTTGGCATGCAGTCATCCCTGGGGTTTGATCTCCAGCCCTGAGAAAATTGGGTGTGTTGGCACAATCTGTAATACCACAAGAAAGATGGAGGCAGGTGGATCAGAAATTCAAGCTCATTTTCAGCTGCAATAGAGCAAGTTCAGGGGCTAGTTTGGGCTACAAGAGGCCTGGTGTTAAATAAAGATGGGAACCAGTGAGGCAGCTAGAGGTACTTAGCACCAAGCCGGAGTTTAATGTCTGGGGCCCCTGTGGTGAAGGGAGAGCTGACTCCTACAGCTTATCCTGTGACCTCCACTTGTATGCTGTAGCATGAACAATCCCCCACCCATCAGCGTCAGTAGAAAGATAGAAATGTAATTTAAAAAGATTAATGGGAAAGATTGTATGAGTTGGGGGTGTCAGGGTCATCACAAAGGAACCCACAGAAGCAACTGGCCTGTTCATGGGAGGTCAGACTATGGATCGATATCGAGAGAGCCTGCATAGGACTGGCCTAGGCCCTCTGCATTCATGCAGTGGTCATGTGACTTGGTCTACTTGTGGGACTCCTAGCAGTGGGAGTGGGGCCTGTCCCTAACACTTTGGCCACGAGCTTTGGGAACCTGTTCTGAATGCTAGGTTTCCTTGCCCAGCCTTAATACAAGGAGAGGAGCTTAGTCCTATTTCAGTTTTCTATGCCATGCTTTGTTGGCACCCATGGGAGGCCTGCCCTGTTCTGAAAAGGTGGAGGAGGGGTGGACTGGATCTGGAACAGAGGGGAGGTAGGAGGAGAGAATTGGAGGAGGGGTAAGCTGCAGTTGGGATGAAAATAAATGAAAAATTTAATAAAAAAAGATTAATGGAATATGGAGGTGTTATTCAGGTCTCTGCTCTAGTAGTAGGAAGAGTTGGAGATACAGCTTGGTGATGTAGAGGCTTGCCCACCAACAAGCTGTGGCCCTGAGTTCAATCCTTAGTACAAAAAAAAAAAAAAAAAAAAAAAAAAGAAGAAGAAAAGCTTACAGCTTCTCTATAGTCAGTAACTAAAGTTCCTAAGGAATTTTAGGAACTCTGGCTATTTGGCATTAATCTTCACTCAAAACTTGTATTTTTTAGGTTACTGTTGAACAGCTCATGTTTGAAGAGAAGAACAAAGCTCAGAGGTTACAGACAGAATTAGATGTCAGTGAACAAGTCCAGAGAGATTTTGTAAAACTTTCTCAGACTCTTCAGGTGAGGTGTTTGGAGTACTACCTTGGCCCTCTGTGGAAGAGGGCACCAATGTAGCAGATTTCCGACTGCTTCTGCCTCTATTATCTGCCTAATTACTCAAGCAGTAGCCTGTTACAGACTTGGCTCCCTTCTCCTTTCCCTTCTACCTTGCCAATTTTGCCTCAAGTATAAATGGGATGGACACTGGAGTGGGTACTAACAGGGCAGAGGGATACCAGTCTATTACATAGACTGAATCTGGTGAATTTTCAAAGTATGTTTAGTTTTTGTTTTTCCCTTTTCTTTGACGAGCTTAATCTGGTGAATTAATCTGTTGCATGTTAAATAAAATGGTCATAGAGGGAACATAGGTAGGGCATCACCTACACTCATCTTGACATTGTTTCTCTAGGTGCAGTTAGAGAGGATCCGGCAAGCAGACTCCTTGGAGAGAATTCGGGCAATTCTGAATGATACCAAATTGACAGACATTAACCAGCTCCCTGAGACATGACACCCTGGTAGCAGGATTCTAACCTGCATTTTGGGTTTTTAACTCATCTTTAGAATAACATTAATTATTATTTAACTCTTATTGGAAGAAGTCACAGCAAAAGGAAGACTGGAGAAATGCAAATCTGGAGGAAGAAAGCTGCGGTGCGCAAGGATAGTCAACAGATGTTTCAAAGGGACACTAATGGACACCGGACTCGATTCCAACAGGTGTGGGGTCAGATTTGGTGCCAGAAAAGTGCTGTTTCCTTGCCTGCTTTCTCCAACGTGGATCCTGGAACAATCTGACACGAAAGCAGCTTCCCCATAGTGTTTGGAACTATGTTTTCTGTTCATACAAACGGGGAGAGAGAAGTTTCTTTTTCTGTTGTCTAGGGCTCATCAGTAGCAGTGTCCAGCTAGCAGAGAGGTGTAGTGTGCTGAAGAGTATTTTATATTAAAATATGAAGTGTGAGAGCAGGCCATTGGCTGTTGACTGTATTTCCCCTTGCTCAGTGCATCTTTTTTCTTTTTACCATTTTATCTTCTATTGGAGGACCTTAAATGCTACTGAAATTTGCCTGAGAATTACAGGACCACGGCAAATAAAAAAGGCAATTCAACAAAATTAGGAGAATCTGAATACTTGGCTGAGGCCATACATATATATATATTGGAAGTTGAATTTAAAGGAAAAAAGCACAAGAAACCTTGGAAGCACTTTTTCTGTACACTGGGATGAACTTCCTGGGCCCACAGGTACCAGGGCAAAGGAGAACTGTCACCATCTATCCTTTCGAAGTGTTTTAGTTATTGGATCAATGGAAAAAAAATATTAATAAACGAGCTATCTCTGACATCTAGTACATATGTATAAATCTGCTTATTTTCAGGCTGCCTCAGAGGCATACTATTTTTAAAGTGTCACATATGGAATGGCGATGGTTTACAAATCTTTGTAATTATGTTTTACAGTTTAGATCTATAGTATATGTGACTATGCTTATAGTGAAGCTGGGAAACTTACTAGTTCAGAATCTGCTTCACTCTTGTCCAAGAGTTGAGATTCCTTTCCTATGTGGAGAAGTAGCCAGTGGATCAGATTGTTAATCCCAAACAGATTTATGAAATGTTGTAGAAATCAGACTGTGCTCATGTACTACTTACCAGCTGCAGACTACCCTGAGTAGTATAGCCAGTAGACAGCTAGCTATGCAGTTTGAAAGTCAAAATGTTTTCAAGTGAGTGGTATTGGCTTACAGCCGATACCCTAAGAAACCTTGTGGGAATGAGTTAACTAGACTTTTCAGGCTTACCTTATCAATTCATAGCATAAAGGGACTTTGTAGTAATGAGTCATTATGAGTTTGCCCTCAGAGTCTTTGCTATTACCCTATCCCATGGGTTATTGTTTATGATTATGAATTTAAAAGTAAATATGAATTGTGGAAATAGTGCTAAAGGCTTGCCAGTGCATGGAAACATTGGCTTAAAGTCCCCTTGTATACAGTACTAGGTTTAAAAGAAATATAGTGTCCTCATTGAGTTAAAGGAACTTTAATTATAATGTGATTAAGTTAGATTTTTCTAAGACTAGTCCTTGGGCTCCAAGCTAATTTGTTTTGGATTACTGTTGGCCACAATGAATGGGTAATTCATAATCATTCTCAACTGTCACTCCAGTGCACTGTTCCACTGAGACCAAGGATCTTACAGACCCTTTTCTCTACAAGTTGGGGATTGAGCAATAAAGACATCATGATTTTGTGATTAGGGGACTATTTATAGAGTCTGCACTTGTGGCAAATGCAAACTGCTGGAATCCATTCAATTGAAAAACACACCCTAGAGGAACAGAAACTGAAACGCTAGTTTTCAACAACCTGTCTATGGTATGAAATAAACTGCTGCTACACCACCAGGTAGGAAACAGTTCTTTAAACTTAGGTTTTCTGCATAAATTACATCTGATTTAGAAGGTGGGATTCATTGTGAAAGGAAAGATCAGTCTGGTTTCATTCAGTGCTGCATTCAGGCTGTGTAGACCTGTTCTCTTGCATGTCTAACCTGGCTTACCTTTTAACTGTAACATATCGTATGTGCCTTTTAATTGGCAGTCACTTGGTTGTTTCTAGGCAGGCACCTTTCAGAACTCAAATTCACAGATATGAAAAGATGACTTAAAGCTGAGGACAAAATGTATATGGCAGAACACATTGTTTCTTTTCCTTTAAGGTGCTAGAACTTGCACCTCCTACCTGAACTGAACTCTGAAAGGTAAATGATGCCTGTGAGGAAATGAGCCAGCAGAGGGCTCTGCAACTGTAGATCTTCAACTCTGCTCTGAGCCAATTGCAGGGGTATCTGTTGTGTTAACTGTACTACTGAAGGCATGTCCTTAAGAAAGTATTCAAATTAAAAGAGCTGCTACTGAGTAGGGTGTGTGGCCTTTTCCTTTGCTCCCTGCAGAGGCAGCTTTGGTACTACTACCTAAGATGCAGCTCTTGTTCTTCAGACACAGACCTGGCAGTATGCAGCTGAAGCCTGTGTCCCAGAATTTTGAAAAATAGATCATAGACATGAATTATTAAGCAAAGTTAAATTTTGAATAAAAAATTTATTCAAATAATATAAAACAAAAGGAATAAGAATAACCACACCAAAGTTTATTCAAAGATGCTTCTTTATAAATCAGATACTGCTACCTGTTTGTTTTATAGCAAGTGTTTTTAAGCCTTCAGTTGTATTAACTTCAGGTGGTGTCAGAAGTTGACATGATTTCGGATATCATTGATTTGCTTCACCATTTCCCTTATGTGTTCACCCCTGCAAAATCATCAAATGATTCAGTTAAAAAAATGAATGAACCATTAGTATTGAATTATAAGGTTGTTTTTGTTTTGTTTTTCTATCCCCCACCCTCAGCTCTAAGACAGGGTCTCTCTCTGTAACTCTGGGTGTCCTGGAACTTGCTCTGTAGACTAGAGCTGGCCTCAAAATCAGAGATCTACCGCTGCCTCCTAAGTACTGGGATTAAACTCTCAGAGAGTTGCAGTAGACTTAAGAATGGCTTTGCCGATCTAAGTAGGTTGAAAAGGTCTCTTGTGGAAAGCAATATTTTTTTTGTGTGGTGTTGGGAACTGAACCCAAGGCAGCACACATTCAACAGATGCTTTGTCACTGAGCTATATAAGCACAGCCCCCCGGGAACACTGCTAACCATATTCATGGGACACACTTTTGGTTACACAACAAAATCATTATAGGAGAGCCACTATTCTTCATCCCACCATATTTATTCATTTATGCCTCTGTCTATCTCCCCCCCCCCCCCCATTCTGCAGGTAAATCCCAGACTCAGAATTCTTATCTAGGCAGCTTTTTTTGGGATATTGTTACGGAAAAATTGTCTCACAACAGTAGCTAACTGGAAAACATCAACTTACTCTTCCTTCAGGATGGACTGAATGCATTTTCGCTGGTAGGCACTGAGAGTAATGGTAGGTTTCTGAGGACTCAGCACTTTTTCCATCTTTCGCTGTTGATAGTCTTTTTTCATAGTAACCTTAAGTATTTAACAGAACATAGATATTTTGACTATGGTTTGCCACACATTTTTACAGTATCTATTTTATTGTTCATATTTTTAAAAAATATACTAGCCACCCTGTACCCATTCTTGCCTGTTTGATGGCATTGCCTAGATGTCGTAGTTGATCAGGTATCAGCTGTAACTCTTTCTTCATGTCTCTCTCACTATCAGAGAGAACTGGGAGCTGAGTATGAAAACTGTGAAGCACTTTTTTCATCCTTAAGAAAAAGAAGGAAATGTGGGTTAAGACTGCTAATTATAATAGAAACACGTCAAAAAGAGTTTCTAATTCAAGAACCTGTTGTCTAACAAGAGATAGGGGGCAGTATCAAGTCTTTCCTGATACTTCAAAGGGTTGGAGTTCTATTCTATAGGTGTGTGAGCACTGGCAGTACCCAAATACTTGGTAATATCATTAATCCTGACCAAGGAGGAACTGGATGCTTTATGGCCCACTGACCTATTCATAATATCTTCTTGTTTCTCTTTGGCTTCCTCATACTTGTCAGCTAATCGTTCAGCCATTTCCCGTAGACTTTTCCTGGAGGAATGAAAAACTCTTGGGGTCCATATGATATGGCACAGCATCCTGAGTGACATGTAGTCCATCCACTACTTCCCACTGTTTTCTTCTCTTTGGTTTTGACACCTACCTCTCCTCTCGACAGTAATTGAGGTCTTCCAATTGTTTCCTCTTTTGGTCACATAATAATTTGACCCTTCAAAAAGAAGTAGTAGTAAAGGTTAAAGGAAAGCCAAGCTTCCACAGGTTACTCCTGTGGCTGTTCAACACAGGATACTGTACCTCCGCTGAATCTCTTCCTTGGCCAGATCCTGCTTGAGAATGTACTGTTCTCGAAACACCTGGGTGGCTCTACTGATAAGCTGCAGACACTCCTCAGGGGGTGGAGCCATATCCTTTTCAGATGACCTTTAGGACAGTTTCTGTTAGTTAGCCAAGTAACCAAACAGACAAAGTCCTACCTACTTTTTGTTGTTTGAGACAGGGTTTCTCTGAGTAACAGTCCTGGCTGGCCTCAAGAGATATGCCTGCCTCTGCCTCCTGAGTGGGATTAAAGGCATGTGCCCTAGCTATTTCATCACCCCCATTTAGCGCTTTTTCAGACGCCACTTCTAACTAGCTGATGAAATGTGCCATATCCCCTCCCACTGTATCACAGTAAGGACAGAAAGGGCCAAAAGGATTTTGTAGCAAGCACAAAGCCCTAGGTTCAACCCCCATTTTAAAGAAAAAGCCCATTCTTAAAACTCATATGCTTCAAAGCCCATACTTAAGAAATGCTGGGTTGGCAGCACTACGTTGCAAGATGGTTTTAATGTGCTTCTCAAAGGAGTCTGGGGTTTCAGCCAGGATGCGCAGTGGAGACTCTGCTACTTCAGCATCTTCTCGGGTGCATAGCAGAGGAGGAGATGCTGGATGGACTGTACTTCTGCAAAACAAACAAGGTCCACTATAGAGCTAGTTGTTGGTTGCACTATTAGCCACATTTATCAAAAACCCAAGGACATGAGAACTTAAGTACTACTTTCGTAAACTACAAGAATGTGTGTTCTGTACTGAAATGTCGTCTTGGGAAGTCCCTATCTTGCCATCTGTCTGAGCATTTCAGACTATTTCCTAAAATTCTTTTTGAAAAGATCAAGGCAACTCAAAAAAAGAAAATAAAAATCCTATGGTCCCTTTCTTGCAAAGGACTCAAGCCAGCACTATAACATTAACTGTTCCTTTTTGGGGACATAGTTTAGATTTGATAATTATGGTGTGGGGCTAGATGATTGCTGTGTACTACTATAACTGCTTCTACATAACATTATTTCTAAAAATTACATTCAAGGGCAAACATTTCCAAAGGCAATTTCCATGAACTT